TAACCAGCTATCATAAAGAAGTATCCTAAATCCTATGCCGAGGCAGAATAATCACTGATTGCCGAGGATTTCGTGGTCGGACTTGAACGTGACATTCGCGACCTGGACTTACAAAGAGGTTAGGTGAAAAGCCTTGAGCTGCAAGGATGCCTGCATTAAGAATTAAACCGCTAATGAACTCTCGCTGAAAAAAACTCGTCATACCCAAGCCATCCACTCATCAAAGTAATCAACCACATTACTTGTGCATGTGTTTGTTGCCGCATCGATTATCCGCTTTTTAACGCATCAAATATTTCGTTTCCTGCCGCCATTTTATTTTTAAGCTATTAACATTTACTTTTCTTTGTGCTGCAGTTACTTATCCCATTCTCTTTCCCCTCTCTTTCCGTCTGCCACAGTCCGACGATGCTGTCGCTGAATCATTTCTATCAAACCGGGCTCCACATTCTGCAAGTGACGCTCTCCTTCATGCTGATGCTGATCTTTATGACCTATAACGTTTGGCTCTGCATTGCCGTAGTGCTGGGCGCCGCCGTGGGCTACTTCCTGTTCTGCTGGCGGAAGTCGGTGATTGTCGATGTAACGGAACACTGTCACTAGCAATGTTTAAAATGTGAAAGGCGCTTCGCTTGGATGCGCTGCCTCTGGCCAAGGCAAATTGGCAATACTGATTATCAGCAGCAACAACAACAACAACTTCAACAATATCAGCAACAAACTATAGCAGCCACAGCAGCAATAACAACATCAACCGCGTGCAGAGCCAGCAACAGGTTCGGCGTCAGCGGCCAACGCAGCGGCAGATACAACAGTTATGACGGTTATGTGGGGAGAAGAAACGGTGGCGCAACCTGCAACCCAACAGCCAATACGCTGATGAACAACGCCGGCGGCAGTATGCGCTGTGCCCGTTACGTTAAGCGTTCCATGACCGAGCCGGGGCAGCGCGGCATGCAAGTGACCATGGCCAACTACAACCAAAAGGACTATGATATTTACTACTACGAGCATGATGAGTACGAGGATGAGACAGTTATCATTGATACGATTGCCGTAACGGCCACCACCACCACACAGCTCATGGAGAGCGGTTGCGGCGGCGTCGGTGCTAATTGCCAGAAATGTCGAAATATTAAAATTCTTCTAAGACTAAGTTTAAGATATTTTTATGATATAAACTGTGAAATTGTTAAGAACACGATTTAAGGCAACACACACACAACAACAAAATCACAAACAAAAAGAAAAACAATAGTAGCTAGCAAGTGAATGAAGACAAAATAGGCATACAAAAAGTTAGCAATATAAAGTAGTTTAGGCAAGTGATAGCGCGCAGTCTTACGTCAGCGGGTGGAATTTAAGAAGCATAAAGTGAAATACTACATATTTTTACACGAAGTAGTTGTACAATTGTTTAGGCGTAATTAGAAATTTGCAAAGTGCACCTTTCGCCGTAAATGCGAGTTCACTTGCGATTGCGGTTAGTTTGGTGCTATGAATGCATTGGCCTTCGACCGAAATAAGCGAAAAAATGTATTTTCGACTATTGAACTTTAATTTAATTGTTAAATAGCAATTTTTTGTTTTTTGGTGATTATTTACTATTTTGTGTTTGAAACTTACTCAGCTGAACGATGTGGATGCCCCTTGATGGCGTTTATATACATACATACATATTTCAATAATTTATACCAGCAGACACAAACATGCATGCACACAGCTACAACTTATACCGACACGTTATTAGCTAATATATTTTTTAATTTATATTGGTTTTTTTATCATATTATATTATTGTAGTAGTTAATAATAGTCATTATTTTTGTGAATTTTTTTTAATCCAAAATTACAAGCAATTTGTTACATGTAGAAAGTGAGGCTACAGCCGATTCCTACACAAAATCCATTATTGTTTAATATTATACATACATACAGCTGTAAAAAGTGCGTAGGAGCAGGTGTTTGACTCCTTTTGAAAGAAAAAAATTGTTACAGTGGTGTGCGTAAAAATACTTACATTGCTGCAAATGTTATTGTATATTGCATGTTAAGTTTTCATTAAGTAAAAACTTGTGCTATAAAATTTTACAACGCATTTTATGTAAGAAAAGAATCCTACCATATATGATATGTATGTACGTGTATTTAAGAAATATTGAATATGAAGTCAACACTATACGCAACAAAATATTGTATTGTGAAATTGTTTTTGAAAAATGAAGCGAAAGTTAATCCGCTGCTACAAGCAAACACACATATACTCACTGATATGCATACATACAGAGATTCATATGCGTACATTTTTCAAACTTACTGTGGAAAATTCAAATAAAGACCAAAATATCCTTTAAGCCGACAACTGGTGTTATTTGTATGGACGGATGGGCAAGTAAGTGTGAAAGTGCGCATTTATTCCTTATTATGAAATTCAATCATTTTTATTATCAAAAAGTTCAAATTTTTCAAAAATAACCAAATTCCAACGAAACCGACCCGCCCTAATTTGATTTACGCAATTTTCGGTCGTTGCACAAAACCAGCTGAAGTAATAGGCGACCATAAGTGATGAGAAAGGCGCTGAAAAACAACAGGCAACAACAAATGTGACAGTTGTCCTTTCCTTTTGTGCCACTTTCTCATTATCCTCGCTGACAGTGCTGCGTGTCACTGATTTGCAGGGTTGTTTTTAATTGTAGTAGTAAATTTTATTTACTATTAAAAGTGATGCAATTATTTATGATTAATTTAACTAAACTTATTTTAAATGACCATAGGTGTCGGAAATTTACTTATTTTTAGACTTTATTTATATTTTTATGCAATTTTTTACATTACTTTGACAAATTAATAGTCCAACTTTTAGACTTTTTTAGTTACCAGGAATGCAACCTTGTTGCGTCTTCTCTCTTTGGTGTGTCCTTCTAAACAAACTGATCGTTGTTCACATTATTGTTGCATGCTGCTGGGCGATTCTGTTGGCCGGGTGTTTCACTAAGAATTTAAAATTGATTTTTGGCGAATTTTTCGCCGCGCATGTATGTGTGCGCGCACTGTGTGTGTAAATTGCCTATGTACACAAGCAAACGAGTGTGCAAAACGCCAAATGCGCTTAAATCCTTACCTTTTCTAAAAACTCTTCCAAAATTAAATCTATTGGCAGTGCTTTTCAGTTATTTATTTATTTTATGCAATAATTCGCAGCTAAAACATCTAAAAATATATTTGTATGTATGCCTGCAATATTTAACACTGTAAGATTTCCTCTTTGGCCATTAGTACACAAACCGCTGATTCACTCCAAATTAGTATTCAATTGCAATAAATTTAAATGTATTAAGATAATTTTATGGGGAGCATGTGACATTGTTTTATTAACGCTCGCCACCAAACACTTAGTACACAAATGTATACAAGCAGATATAATTCGGCTACAGATATGGAAAGTCCTTAGTTAACTGATACACATCAACATTCATACACCGAAATCTACTAAAATAAAATATGGTACACCGCTAGCTTCAATAACACACACTAACACAGCACTTAAAAGAATATTATTTCCTCTTGCACTTAATTCAGTGGGATTACAATCTTTACTCTCTACTGCTTTGTTTTCGTCGAGGTCTTGCCTGCATCTGTATCATCGAGTGCAGCATCACGTTCCGCCAACTGTTTCAACAATTCAAAGCCACTTTTCCACCTAATTACATCCGCGCGTAAATCCATTTTATTGCGATGAGATATTATTTTTTTGTCCAGCGCAAAATCTTGTCTAGGACATGCAATATCGCCTTGCCGCAGCTTCAGCACTGGACACAAGTCGTTGTGGCCATCACCAACATAAATAATACATTCGTAATGCGTATTATCGCGCAGATTCCGCTTGGCCACGAAATGCTCCAATATTTTACCCTTACATAAGTTGGCGGCACTCAATTTGCAGTCGGTCTGATGGTGATAAGGTTGCAGATGCAGTAAGCCGTCATTGTCAAAATATGCTGGATTTGTGAATATGCTTTCAAAACAATTTACCAGTCCATGCGCCTCTAGCCATTCACTTATAAAGATGGTATTGGAATCACTGATAATAACCAAGTCATATTTATTTTCCTGCGCTTGATGCAGCCGCTTGAGCAAACGCACAAAACCAGGTACCTCTGGTATGCAGCGTACTTTGTCTCGTATTGTTTGTGGTGAAAAGCTTTGTTTATGCAAACGTCGGAAAACTTCAGACATATATTCCTGCCAACCCTCTTTGTGTATAATGGTTTCACTGGGGAAGTTGTCGGCTGGTAGGAGATTGCGAACGACATCGTCTGTGTTGGCATCCACTACGGTACAATCGAAATCAAATGCGACCAAACAACGTGATACTCTAGGAATCATCTTACAGCTATCCATAATTGAACGAGTTATCTCTAGTGGTAGTAAACGCACACGAAACGCCAATGCTATTGAGTGAATGTAAAATACTAGCAGCTGATTTTCTACGCTTACATTCGTCTCCCTAATTTTGCATAGGTGTGAATGAGTGGACGGAAAATTTGTGTATAAAAAAAATCTAAATTTGTTCGAGGTCACAAGTTTAACCTTTACTTTGGATTAAAAGCTAACAAAGTAATAACATTACACTTGGTATAAATCCATTTCAAATACCTCCTATGCTATTAAACAATTGCACAAAATAAAAATGAGTGTTCAGAAAATAGCGGACAAAAGAGTGACATTTCGGCAGTGTTGCATTTTAATGTACTAAACAAAAATTATTTGCATAATTTCTAACTAAAATTATTCCAGACCATGGTTCAATTATTCAAGATAGTGTCGATACAACTTACTATAATTGAATGATGTTCCAGAGCAGAGCTGAAACTATGACGATTAATTATTTAAATTAAGTTAATTTTATAAACTTGCAAATGAAAGTGACACCCTGTCGTGGGACTTGTTTTGGGCAATTCCCTTAACACCGCCCCAACTTTCACTTTCAAGAAAACTTCGCTTTGCAAACAGCTGTTTAGTTGCTATATCAAACGTAAATAAAACAAATAGGCAGCTGCCAATAACACTGCAAGTTTGTGCGGAACCGATAGTATATCACCATGTGCTATTGACGTTTATTTGCATTTACTATTGAGCGAAGATAAAAGTTTTATTGCCGTACCCAGTAGTAAAAGATAGCTACATCAGTCAGTGCATTGCAGTGTGCGCACGGTATTGAACGTGTTCAGTGAACAGCGCTTCCGAAAACTATAGCAACCATTGTGCTTCCAGTGTTATAGTAGAGCACAAATATTGTATAAAATAGCAGCACATAAATGAGCAAGATGCAGGTGGAGCGCAACCTGGCACAAACAGAAACGATCGGAACCAACGGTCAAAGCAGCGACAGCACGAGCGCAACAGTTGCATCAGGCGTGGCCGTGAAATGTGCAACAGTCGATAATGTCAACAGGAATCAACGTCGACTACAAGATGTGGGCACATTGCGCCGCGAGGACTTTGACGGCGGACCGGTGAGTGTGGATGAAATCGTACCAGGACTATATTTGGGTATGTGTGCCAGAGTATGCGATGTGACATACAGTAATTGTAACGCTTTGATCATTGCAGGTAATCTAACCGCCGCTACCCATATGGAAACATTAAAAAATTTCGAAATTACTCACATACTAACACTGGACTCAGTGCCGCTGCCACAACATATCACCCAGGCAAGCTTTCTTACAACCAAATACGTGCACAGTAAGTTGTGCTTGCCGAGAAAAAAATACACACGCAACATGTACATACATACATAAATATTTTGGATGCAAATATAGAAGTATTTAAATATAGGTCCAAACCTTATTAGTTTTCCAAACTATGTTTTGAAAGTTAAAATCGAAAGAGCCAGAGATCTGTGCAGCTATTACATTTGACTTCAGCCACATACCGTTATTCTGAACGGAGGAAAAGAGAAAATTAATAGAATGCATAGCAGATATTCGTTATTTACTGCAATCCTGATTATACAGACATACACAAAGCTATTTAAAGCTCCCACTGGTGACACCACGCTTCAGCTTATAATGGCACAAAACCTTGACAAGCCAGCTTCAACTGACTAAGCTTCTAATAAAGGACGTAGGTTTCTTTATTTTATTTTTTTGTTAACACATGCATACACACCAGTAACACACGCATTTGCTTCGTAGAATGCTCGACATCACAGTCAATAGCTAACCACGCATTAAAAGCATGTCGACACGCACGCATTTTCCGTAACAAGTATGTCCGCAGTTACAAAAGCCTGTAGAAATGTAGTGTCGCTACCTGTTACCAGTGCGTTGCACACACCAACGCATGCACATGTTTCCATAGCCACTGCTTTCCTCCCACGCTAGGCCCTGTCATGTCATATCTTGTGTGTGTGTGTGTGCATTCAATTACTACTTTGCCATAAAATTTCGTTTTGCGAAGGTTTTAATAAATTTAAATATTTTCTTCTTGCTCACGCCACTTCAATTGGCGGCCTTAAGGACAACAACCAATGCGCAGCTTTATAGTCAATGACAGCAACCACCAGCGTATGACAGCACACAGCAACGCACATCATAATTCTACAAGTCGACACGAATATCAAAGTAGTCATTACATTGAGGATTTGTGTGCATGCGAGAGTGTGTGTGAGAAGCTTCCACCTCCCTGCTGTCTGCTGGTTTATTTCTTTGCCTGGATGCTTAGTGCGGTTACATTTGTTGTTGTTTACGTGTGGCTGCGGCACCCCACTTCTCTTTTTCGGAAGCGTAGCGTGGGTTTTGTTTATTATTACGCTATTATTTGAATGAAGACACAAGTAACAGCCCACAAAGCTTTTATTGGCAGCGCGTTTACTTTTGAACGCGGCGCCTATGGCAGTGTGGAAGTGTGAGTGCGGAGGAACTGCGTAGCATGAGGGAAATAAACAAATACTGGCATCTATTAATAGCAGATCTTGAAATGTTTTCAATACAGCAGACGTGCCTCTGGTTCTACGAGAATATGTTCGCTTGCAAAACTTGGCCTCATTATAATGATTTTTATAGACAGCAAATCCTTTCACCAATGTTGAGCAAAAAAATGAATTTACTCAATTCGTTATTTAAATTTTGCCCATTTAAGCCATATCCCTCAGTTGATAGTCTGGTCCCTTACTCGAAGTTTTACCCAGTTTTCTAGTGATACCAATGCTGCACAAAAACCGGTTCAAATCGGTTAAACAAATCACTTCAAGCCACCTTTCTTTGCTTGCCCTTTATATTTAATGTCTAACTGCCCCATTATCCCCTTCTCAAGTTGCCGACATGCCGAAGGAGGATATTTTGCACCATCTGGATACCTGCTCGGATTTTATAAGCTTGGCTATGGCGCAAAAGGGGCGTGTGCTCGTGCATTGGTGAGTACCCTTGTCGTAAATCCAACATACTTAGTTATAAACCATAAATTATTTACCTTAAAATATCCAACTTCGCTTAACTTTGCTGTCATTTCAGTTATTTTGGTGTTAGTCGCAGTTCTGCCGTCGTCATCGCTTTCATTATGAAACAACACGATTTGGAGTATCCGGCTGCGTTTGAGTTGGTGCGCTCTAAGCGTCGCTTTGTGCAACCCAATCCGGGCTTTGTGTCGCAACTGAAGCTCTATCGACGCATGGGCTGTAAAATCGATCAACAGTATCAGCGGTACAAACTCTATCGACTGCGTTTGGCGGGCGAACAAGTGCGCAAAGGTAAATATAGTAGTTTGACTTGAATACCACCAAAATACATATAAAAATAACCGGCTTACACAATCGGTAGCGAAAATATTGCCACAATCCTTTAATAGTCTGATCAAATCGGATCCCGCCGTTACGCAGGAGAATCCGGAGCCCATTGTCTATCGCTGTCGCAAGTGCCGTCGCGTTTTGGTGTCCAAATCGCACGTACTGCTGCACAACACCAAATCACTTGCCACAAGCACTGTACCAGCGGCCGCAAAGGCAGGCGGCAGCAACAACAATCCTTCTCCGGTTGTACAGCAGGCGCCGCGGCTGCTGGAACAGATTGCTGCGCAAATACGCAAGGCCTCACTGGCCTCACCCACCGTTGCCAGCGCCGCAGTTGGCGAAGGCGATGCAGTCAACGAGCAACTGCAGACTGTTTGTCGCAACATACTGTTCGTGGAGCCGATCTCTTGGATGCGCGACATCTCGCACAACACGCAGGGCCGCTTGCATTGCCCGAAGTGCGACCAAAAAGTGGGCAATTTCAGCTGGATTAACGGCTGCCAATGCCCTTGCGGCGAGGAAGTGTCACCGGCATTCTACTTGATACCTTCGCGCGTGGAGCTCTCCAAGGCTGTGCAAAACGTCCAAACAACGCTTTAGACTACCGTCGCCGTGGAGCAGCGCAGGGCAATGGCAGTTTTGGGCAATCCGCATATATTCACAAAAGTATTACTTCAATAATAGAAAGTGCAAGTAAAGAAAGAGAAAATGAAAAAGAAACGTAAAAAAAATACAAAATTTATAAATCTTGATGTGAAATTGAAATGCTTCCATTTTGTGTATGTTATGAAAGTAAATATTCACACTAGCTAAAATATCAAAATTTTCAAGTTGCGCCTAGATAAACGTAAACAAATTCATAATCAAAAATTCAATATAAAAACGTCTGCAACAGTTGAAGGGTTTCAAGTGCGCAAAAGCGATTTACATGTTAAAAAGTTTGGATACATGAAAATTAGCTAATTCTCAATAAAAAAATAAAATTTAAAAAATATACAAAGTAATTATATAACCATACTGATTGGATTGAATTAAATTTATAGAATTTCTCTAAGAGCTTCGACAATACTTAAAAATCGTTTTAGAAACTTACAACACTTTATGTGCATTTACAAAAAAAAAAAAAAAAATGTTTAAAAAATATTGATGTCAAAGTAAAAATAAAAAATGTTGAAAAAGTGAAAATAAATTTCATCTATTTATTTTATTAGTAATATTAGTATAAAACGCAATTTCTTTTAATTTGGATTAATAAACAATTCCCAAAGTTTTAAAATTTGAAAACGTATGTTTGCATATGCTTCTTAAAAATTCTTTTTCTTAATTTTTTTTTTTACTTAGAATTTTATAAAAAAAAATAGTAACAAATTAAAGTTAAATTTTTTTCGTAAATCAAAATATAAAAATTTTATCAAATTTCATATAAAATTTAGATATTTTGAAATTTTACCGACGGCACGGTCGTAAGCTGAATCATAGCTTATTTTATGCATAATCTTCGAAATAAATTTTAAATAAAAAATAAATTGACTTTCTGAATTCATTTTCAATAATTTCTATACCAATTATTGTTTTGAAAATTTATCATGTATTTCAGCTTAAATTATTTTTTTATATAGTATTTATTTTTACTTCACACCTTTTTCAAGCATTATTTTACGCCACAAAATTATTTTATTCAAATAAATTAATAAAAAATTCAAAGGAAACGTTCCAAAAAATCAATCATTAATGTGAAATGATATGTACATTTGTATTGGGTAGTCGAAAAAGTATTTTCGTACGACTGTAACGACATCTTTTGACAAAATACGAAAAAACTTTTACGGCTACCCAATATATGTATGTGTAAAATAAGAACTCTGGTGTTTAAATTCAATTCAGCGCTGCGATCTAAAGCGTGTGCAATAACATCCCTGTCAAAAAATGTTCACGCCATCGTCATCATTTTTGGTGCAAGTACGCATAGTTTATTAAAAATTTTCGCAGCCATCTGTATACGATAAATTACTATGCTATCATTAATTAAACCTACAAAACGGGATAATTTGCTCTGACTGCGTGCGAGTTTTATATATATGTATGCAGTATGCATGTAAAAAGTCCATTTGACGTAAAACTAAATTTTAAAAGGCGCCAAAGCGTCGATGTGTTATATTTTTTATATTACATGTTTTTTTTTTTAACTTTTTAACTCTTTTATACATATCTATTCGTACATATATGCTAATGTATATTTATTGATTCAATTTAATTTGTTTAAGAAAAATAATTTATATTATGAAAATGTGAAAAACGAGCCGCATTCGAAGCAGCAAATTCAAAGCGCTTTTGTAAAAACGTTTACTCCACGTTTCAATTTCAATTGTAATTTGAATTTAATTGCAAAAATGTTAAAAAGTCACATTATTAAAAAAGTAATTTAGTAGGATAATTCATTGGGCGCCTAATTACCATTTACCAATTTATATATTTTTTTCAGTTATTTCAAGTTGTTTTCAAAAAAAAACTCAAGCATAAAACTAAATAGTTTAAGAAATCACCTCGTTTAACGGCGTTCTTTGTGGCCTAACACAGCGGCAGTCAGTTGCAGTCGGCCTCAATCCAGCGGTTTGCCTTGTGGTATTGTTACTGTTGCTGCTGGTGTTGTCATAGCAACGCAAACATGTACTGTTGCTTATTTGAGTTGTATGTATGTTGTTGCTTGCAAGACACTGGCTGTGTGTTGGGCTGGCGATTGTGTGCAGCTGTTTGTGTTTTTGAAAGAAATGTTGATTTTTGGAAGGTGTCTGTTACCTGCAATGAGTTGACGGCGCCTCGGCAGCTTGGCTGGTTGCACCAACAAAGGAAGCAGATGATGATTGTTCACTTGATAATGTCGTTGCCGTTGGTTGTGCATAGTTGCGGGAGCGCCTGCGACGGCGACGGCGTCATGTTCTTGTAGAAGGCGGGTTTCTGTAAAAGTGCACAGTTTTGTGAAAGTTTTGCGAATGCCTCAATTCATTCAAAGAATTCATGACTAAACAAAATACCATCACACAAATATTTATTAAGCCTTACACTTGTATTAGGGAGAATAGAAGAGGTAAACGATGAGGAAGGATGCGCTGTGCCAGCGTTGGTCACGAAAGTAATTTTTTAGAAAACCGAGCTTGGCAAATGCGCGCAGAAAAGTATGCAACATGCGGCACGCTGAATAATTTATAAGTTTACTTAACATAAATTTAGTTTGGTACTGATTGCTTTAAAGGATTTCAAGTATTTATAAACGAAAACGAAAAAATAAATAAACAAAAAAGAAATTTAAGTCACATTCCGCATTTCTTCATATTTCATACATTATTTATTTATATATGTATATGTGCTTCTACATTGAAAAAGTTGCGTCATACTAAAATAAAAAAAAAAAACTTTCGTGACACGTTTTATGGAGTGTGTTGTGCGGCGAAATATTAAAATATTTTTTTTTTTTTTGAAGCAACTTAAGACTAAAATTGTTTATTAATATTTTTTTCTTGCATAATTAATGTATTATTTTTTGATGAATAATTTTGTAGTTTTTATAACTTAACGACTATTTATTTAAAATTATACGAGAAAAACATAAGTTAACCGTAGGATCATAAATTATTTTGTTACCTTTGTAAAGCGGGTATGAAAAAATTGAGTTTTCCACTATAAATCACACATCAACTTCAATCCCTTCACTTCCACCATTTTATTTTATAACTTCTCAACACACAAAATCTTTTTTCTCCTACTAAATAAGAATTAAGACGCAATTTGCAAAATTTGATTTTTTGTTTAAAACAATTACCTCGGTGTGGGTGAATGTGTGCGCAGTTTACTGAGCGTACGAAGTGGTAGCGAACTGGCGTACGAATATGAGGGCGTACGCGGGTCACTTAAAATCTACAAATATCATTGGTATGGTAATCTTCACATGTTGACTTCCAGAATATATAGTACGAAAAATACGAGCATTAATTTTTTTTTTTGTTTTTTTTTTTTTTTTTGTATCACAACTTTTTTCTTTACACTACATATTAGAAATATTCCAAAAAATAGAAAAAAGTACCTTGTTATCGAGTATCGAGTTTGTTTGAAGGGGATTGGTCTTGTAGGCGCAACTGAACTGGGTACTGGAGGACATTCAGTTACTCGTTCTCAAACGTATGCGTTTACGTGTGTTTTTACTCACGCTATGAAAAGTTAAACAAAAAACTCAAAAATTAAAACCTTGTTTGTTCATAAAACTAATTTTTATTAAGATTTTTTGCTTGAAATGTACCTCGAAATAACGCTGGCAGCGGAACAAAGACTACATTATGACAGATACAGGACCTACGGCAATTTTTGCGGTCATTATGCCGCGAGCATAAGAAGCCAGAGTACAGTCGAAGTGAATTAGCCAACGAGTGTTGTGGGTTTCAGCCAATGCAACAACTTTTCCCCTAGCAATTAAACATTTAAAGATTTAGTTTTTTTTTTTATCTCGATAGAGCAAAAAATCAAATCAATATAACTTTGATGGCAAATCAATATTTTTTTTTTAATATTTGTAAGCTCGTTAATTAAAAGAGCTTCTCAAATGTACGTAAGTCGTTTACTTAAGCAAATAATAAATTTTTTGTGTGTGCTAAGTTAATTAGCAAGTCTATCAATCCAAAACTCTATATCTAAACTTTATTTTTGCTTTTAGACGCCCACTATAAATTTTTATGTACCATACAAAAACCATTAAGTCCACGCGAAACAGAAATAAAAACTTTCGTCACTAACAACTCTAACCTCAAAAGTGAGAAAAAGCCTGCATATTAGATATAATATATTCATTTCCCTTATTAGATTTACGCATTCGCTTCGGAATTGTATGTATGCGTTTGGTAGTTCGAAAATTTGTGTATGTAAGTTTATATGCTTAAATATATATACTGTTGAAAATACGTTTGTACTCACCTTGATTTTCGACTTGAGATTATTCATTTTATTTATTGGGCTAGATTTTTAGAGTTTATTAAATTTGTTTTTGGGGAGAGTACCTCGATCCGCCACGTACAAATGCGTGTAATTAATACCGACTGCGGCTGCGGCTACGGCTGCGACTATGACGATCCCTGCTGTTGCGTCGATGGTTGCTGCGCGAGTGGGAACGTCTGCGATGTGATGCTTTGTGATGGTCTGAAAGTTAAAAAATAAAATAAAAATAAATAAAAGCAAAACAATATTAGCGTCTATATGTATGCATAAAACAATTTACAACTTACGTCGATGTTTGTCGGCCGAACGTCGGCTGCTGTGCTCACGTGAACGTCCGCGATACTCACGCTCGCGCTCACGGTCACGGTCACGTTCACGATGATCATGGTGCTCACTGCAATGGAAAGATTTTAGGTTTGGATTTATTGTATGTAACAGCATGCAATCCAATAAACTTATTTACCGTCTACGCTCGTTATGGTGGCTGTAAGTGCTGCGCTGTGCGCTGCGTTGTTCACGTTCCTCGCGCCTCTTTCGCTCCTCTTCCTCGCGATCCTTTTGTCTACGTTCGTGTATTTCCTCTACGGCTTTACGCAATCGCGAATAACCCAAATGTTGTTTTCCCATTAGATGGTCTTCAATACGCTGCTGAGCGTCGCCAACTATCAGAAAGGCTCCGCAGATTTCACATACTTCCATTTGCTTCTCAGGCAATGTACCCAGATCCTGCAACCAAGGCAGAACTTTCTTGTCGCTGCCGCTCCCGCCATCTTCACTTCTTGGCGATTTTTCACCATCTGATTTGTCCGTATTACTCTCTGGCGGTGGCGTAGTCAAGCTTTCTTTCAATAAACCATTTGTCTGATGGTGTATTTGCTGTTGTTGCTCGTGTTGCGCAACTAGCGCCTCTTTCTCGTCTTTTAATTGCTCGCAAAGTGCCATTAGATCCTTGGCCTGATCAACATCACCTCGTATGCCGGCCTCCTCGGCTTCGGAGAGCAATTTTTTAATACGTGCGTTCATATTGTTCAACTGTTCCTGGTACTTTGAAAGTGGTATAGAAGGTGTGGGCTGATCTCGGTGCATTAATTGCAGACGCTGCTTGCCTTTTTGGATTTTACGATCGACATCATTTAACATGTTGTTACAAAACCGCAAAAACTCATCTTCGTAAGAACGCTTACGAGGTGATGGACGTGCTTCTTCATACAAGCGTTTTGCTTCGTCGTCATGTATTTGGGTGCATGGTCCCAAATCTGCACGAGTATTAATGAAGAGATCATGTGGACAAAATTTCACTATATAATACTGACAGAACTGAAAAAAAAATCAAATGCAAAACAAAAACTCAATACTTATTCCATTTATTTCTAAGCCTTCGCATATATTATTGATTTTGTTACGAACAATATTTTGACAGCATGATTTGCCTTTGAGAAAATTTAAATACTCACGTCCGGATCATCCCAACTAACTTTACGCGGCGCTTCCGATGGATGTAAATTTCTATTACGACCCATCAGCTCGTCCAGCATTTGACGTGCTGCGTCCACCATTGTTAAAAACAAATTTTTTGCGACTTTAACCCCTTACTTCCTATGCCAGTAGTACGACGTTGCTCGTGTTCATACAAAATATCAAGTTCATAAACAACCTTCTGTTACAATTGTGTATTTCTATTTTAAGTTCTTCTATTTCTTCTTATTTTGACTAAATGCAAATATTTAAAACAATATTTTTCAGAAAAAAATTTCTATCAATTTTCCACAAATACAAGAGCAGAACAAGAATGACAGTTCAACTTTGCTACTTGAATAAAAAGGCATGCACACAGGGTTGCTAACGCGGTCATTGCAAATATACCTAATATGGTGTCCATACTCATTATTTAAATTATAGCCAGTCATAAATTTAACGACGAAGTTTTTATTTAAGAAATATGGTTTTCTAGGTCTAGGTCTCAAACATTAACAATATTTTTTTACATAATATTGTGGAATACTGCCGAGTTGGGTTCTTGGTTGGATACAAATCCGGATTCATTTGTCTTGTATAGACCCGACTTCCGTGGGACGGAACGAAGTCGAAGTTATCCTAAGCTTAGGGCTGAAGGACAGTTTCTTTGATATCAGAAGACATTTCAAAGGGAGGGGGGTGTTAGATTAGAGGGGTTAGTGCACGCAGGACCTATATTGGATATTTATGCACTTCTTCGTATCGGATTCTTCAGTTATCACAAAATTACCAGAAACCAAACATCAAATCGATTATCAATATATAAATAATAAATACATTCAAAACATAAAAACATTTACTCACCAAAATTTATATAGAAAATTATTTTTGACCTTTGCTCTGAATTCTTTAGTAACGCTAAAAATGGCTTTTGGACCGCCCAAACGACGTCTACTGATATTCGATTTCGACGAGACTTTGACTTCGATGGATTCCACTTGTCTTTTGCGCGATTTGCTGCCGGTGTATCGACGTCCCAAGGAAATAAACGAGTTAAAAGGAGGAAGGATTGCATACTTGAACACATTATTTACAGAATTACGTGCAGCAGGTTACTCATCGACCGAACTACGTCGCCTAATAGCAGGCATACCGCCAGTGCCGAGCATTGTGGACTTTATAAAACATCTCTACGAATCATGTGATCCAAAATACGATATTATTATTATCAGCGACTGCAGCAGCATTTTTATCAACGATTGGCTCGCCAATCATCAACTGACCGAGTGTATCAAAGAGATTTTCACTAATCCATCGTTTGTTGTTTCCAGTGATGGTATGCGAGTGGAGGCGATGCAACGAGCCAAATGTCCGCTGAGCCCACCAAACCTTTGCAAACGCAGTATTTTGGAAAGATATCTGACAAAGCGCCAGGCGATGGGTGTAACTTACGACCGTGTGATTTTCGTGGCCGATGGCGCGCACGACTATTGTCCCACGTTGGTCATGCGTCGGGATGACATTGTGTGCGCACGGAAAGGAAAGGATCTTGAGAAGAAAATACGTTGCTATCGCAGAAAGTGCAAGGTGAGACCGCTTGTGCTGTTGTGGAGTACCGGGCATGGGCTGCTGACGCTCTTGGAGTCTGCTCTAGATTGTGTGACTATTTCAAGCATATAAACCCGGTTGAAATAGTTTTAAATAAAACTGGTGCGATTTTTTTAATTGTAAAAATTATAGACACACACAAATACAAAGGATACAGTGAGCAAAAGGAAACAAATACGTACAGTAGTTACAACAAATAGTGTTATTGTTAAAAATTCTTAATACCAATTCCAATTTCACATTTTTGGCAAAATAAATTATTGTATAAAAATAACTGCATATTTTATTTTTTATTATATTCATCGTCATTATCATTAATATAGTTTCTTCATAGCATTTATTTGGGTAAATTAATTACTTTATTACAGTTAATGAACCTCCCAGGCATGTCAACGCACAACACAGCTCAATGCTGAGCGACGCGCAGTGCCGTTATTTGTTTAAACTGTTTTGATATTCGTTTTTTTCCTTTTCCTGCTTAATTTAGATTTAAAACTAATTTTTAAATAATAAAAAATATGTCTACGCGACTCCTGTAGGAATCAACTATGTATAATGTTTGCACGCATTTGTTGTAGGATGTTATTAACTAAAATAAATTGTATGTAGATTAAAAACACACATATATATTATAATCCTCGGCGGCGGAGCGCGGTTGGCTAACGTAACAGTAAATTGAAGCAATTCGCATACATCGAAATATTAGTATGAATGAATGGATTGTTTAATCAACACTTCATATGTGAAAGTGGGGACACTTAAGCATTGCTCGAAAGAAAAATGTTCGACTAATATTTACAAGAAAAAACTCAATTATGCAAAATAATAGACGAGGAACACAAAAACAAATAGAGTGCTGTGAGATATGCTAAATTTACGTTTTTTTGCACATGTCACTACTCAATAAACTTGAGTAGACTTAAGCAGCTAACACCGCATGAATACTATTTGCCACTCCGCCACTTTGAAAACGATTTTCAACGTCTTACTTTTGACTTTCATTTAAAAACTATACTCGCATATATTTAAATACACATTTTTTCATTATTAAACAGTTATTTAGTGTTGTATACAAAGTGAAATTCACGACTTATATAGTTTAGTTTGATATTTAATAAATTTTATTTTATTTTGTTATTCTGTTGAATATTTGTTTTGTGTTGTTTTCAGCTTACTTAGGACTTAAATCAACTCTTATGTGCATTATTTGACATATTACATACATGATTGTGTTTGCATGCAGCAAATCGATTACTCCTTAGTTAATTTGTTGAAATAGTTTCTTACTGAAATGTACGTAAACATTTTCCCACTACGTCTATGTTCATTAATTTCTGTTTGCACTATAATACATTTGATAAATTAACACTTTAAGCCTGACGTTGTAGCATAGGAGAATCGAGCTGTTTGTTTTTATCATAAATTTAGCTTATTAGTTAGATATTAAACGAAACTAGACATTTAACTTAATTAAAAAAGTATGAATTAAATTTTCTTGTTCTTAAATCCTAAAATAAGTGTTATGTTTATGAAAAGGCGTTAAGTTTGTCATCCATTCAATCATCATCAATTATATGCTTTACACTTGTTAAAACATTTCTCTTCCTTGATTTAAATTCCAAATGTTAATATCTGCTTTCAACTAGCGAGTGTTTCTCTGTATTGTTGCTTGTTTAGTGGCTATGCACACCGATGCCGCTCAAGATACCGCCATCACAGTCGCACTTTATTGCTACTACATATCGCTGTCGTTCAGGCTACTACGCTTGGGGCAGTAACGTATCACCCCCACTCAGGCAACAACGGGCGGTGGCGGCGGCAGCGTACCGGCTGAGTTCGTCTTATTCGCCGTTGTTTGATTAGCGACACCCTTGCTGCCTGCGCTGCTCGCATTCGAAGGTGCAACCTCCGTAGCCGCGTTGCTAATTGCTGTTGCACTGCCGGCAACGGTTGCTGGTGTTTGTGGCGGGATTTTAGCCAGCTGCTTTTGTGGTGTGGCGATGGGCGGCGATGCTGGTTGTGGCATAACACTACCTGCGCTTGTTGTTACGCTGCTGACGCATGGACTGGCTATCTGAACTCGTTTCACGTTCTTGGCGCGTCCACATGGCACACACAGCATGGAACAGTGCTCGCGCAATTTCGTAATGTGATCTATGCGATACTCATTAATCCATTTCACTTTTTTATGTTTGATCTGTTTGACTTTCTCGCCATTAGGCGAAATCATGTTTGGTTGTTGTGGCAAGCCCTCGGGCTTTGTGGCGCCACAACGCATACAAAAGCTACAACGATCACAACTCCAACGAACTGTTTTAATAAAAAAAAAGTAAAAGGTAAGAGTTGTAAAGAGATCATAGTAATTATGGATATATTTTAGCTTTACTCACCATCTGGCACGGCTTTGATACCCAAGCAGTAAATGTGGAAGCCGCGATCACATTGCTCGCAGTACAGCATTTTATTCTGATCCTTGTTACCTTTGCATTTGATGCAGCACTTGCAGTCGGCACATTGCCAATTGTAGTTGCGCACGCGCGCCACCATGCGGTAAGGCATCTCAATGCAGCTCGGGTGGACTGAAAACCAAAACAAAAGAGTGTTATAAATATCAACAAGCAACATTGCAAGTCGCTTAATTACCTTTGCGTCGACATGTATAGCAACCTATGAAGACCTCGGGCAGGTTTCTCATATTGCGATGCTGTGCACGCTGGCACACGCCGCACGTGATGGGAGGTGCACCCTCATCTTCCGAAGACGAGCCGGAATCATTGTTGCAGCTATCGGAATCGCTATCCGAGTCCTATAAAAAAACAGTGATTTCATTAACACTTCCACATGATTTGTCCCTTCGACTGGCTTACCGATTCGCTTTCACTTTCACTGCCCGAAGTAGACATAGCCGAGTCTGTTGCACTATCGGCGTCTTCTGCTGCATCGATGTCGTCATAAATAACTTTAGCGGCAGAACGTGAGCGCACGCTGCGACGCACAGTGTTGCCTGTTGTTGTGTTTTCCTCCGTGCAATTGACGATTGTGGCTTTTATATCCGCTGATTCGGTGCAAAGTTTTTCATCTGCGACATTGAGCTGGTCAGCTAACTTCTTGTCATCTGACACTGGAGGTGCCGCTTGCTTTTGTGTGTGTTGTGACGTACGTTCAACCAGCAAACGTGGGTTCTGCAGCACCGTATTAAGCGGGAAGCAACTTTAGGATGAAAATATAAATCTGTTAATGATCTGCTATTTGCGATTTCTTATTTGCTTACCTCAACTCTAATGGCGTGTACTGACGGTATTTCGCGCTATACTGACCGGGCACTAAAGCTATTGGGTAGCTAGCGTCCACGTCACGTGGCGGTGTGGTAATGCGCGGTCGCAACAGTGTTGGTGGCTCAGGTATGTTTTCGGTTTTAGCGGCCTCTGTCACTGCCTCGGCAATTGAGCGGTTCACCATTGTTGTAGTGGGCGCTGTTGCAGGCAATGGCACATTCACCGTTAACGTCTGCAAGTCCAGACATGCTAACCGTTCCTCCTTGCGACTACAATACAAAACAAGTGTTAGTGCATTTTGTTCTTGTTACCTATTGTGTTGTTGTTGTTACCTTCTATTGAAATAGGAATTCCATTTACTGGCCGAAAGCAATGCACGTTCACGCGCCTGCAGTCCACGGCCAGTCACGTTGAGACCTAGTGCTTTCTGTTTTGCCTCGATTTCGCGCAAATGCTTTTGCCTGATGAAATCCTTGTACTCCTCGTATTTCTCATAGAAGTCGGTATACATAATGTCGAGTATGTCGGATGCCCAAACGGCTGTGATGCCCAAGTCGCACATACGCTCCGACACGAGACCCTTCTCTTGCAACCAATTGCGCTCCTCCATATCGATCTGACGACGCGGCAGATCAGGATATTTCCGCTTGAAACTTTTAATGCCCAAATACAAGGCGACCTGCTCTTGAATCATAAAAGTGTCACGATTTTTCGATGGACAGCAGCCCTTCGGTGGCGGCCAGTCGTATTCAGCGATAGCTGCAACTGTAATTTCAGCGCTGAAAAAGGAGTACAAATATTCAGTTGATTTTGGTTTTGGGCAAAGTGCATGTGAGTACTCACTCTTCAGCAACGCAAACTTCCATTTTCTTCTTCTTTGGACGTTTAATAGCGCTGCCATTTTGTACAGCGGCCACAGTGTTGGGATCCAAAATACTGCTCGTACTAACCACGGAGGACTGAGACTCGTCATTATTAAGAAAATCAGGTTGCCTACGGGTTTGCAACCAAAAGTGATTAGTTAGATGGTTTTTATATATGGATATGGTACACATACATGGTATACATTCATACACTGAATAATCATAAATATGTATGTATAATATGTGTGTATTTTTACCTTATTGGCGTTGCTGGTTCCGACTGCAGCGGCATTTGAATCTGACTTAAATCAGCGCTCATACGGGTATCCTCTTCAAATACTTGAGGGGACTGTGAAAAAGGTTATTGGGAAATGATTATAAGTAAAAATAATTCCATATAAAAGAATATATGTATATCACTAAATTATTCAATGACAAAATTAATATATAAATTTGATCACAAAAATGAGAATAATTTCATAAATAATATATTTTGGTTAAAATTTTTGAATTAAGAAATAAATAAAACATAAAAATTAAAGGAGTTTCTAAATAAAAAGCTGGAAAAGTGGAGTGAAAAGTGATTAATACAAATGTGAAAAGTGCTAAACACGGTGGCAAATATATGTACATATGTAAGTCAAAAAAGACTTAAGAAAAAGAAATATTTAAANAAAACATAAAAAAATATATATACTATATAAACATGAAAATATCTAAATAAACAAGAAAATATTTTAGGAAATAAAAACTTTTTTGAACAAAATATGTTATTTTATTTTTAATTGTGTTATTTAAAATTTGAACCCCTCGAACATTGGATGTACATATGTACATATATATGTATGTATGTATGTAAATAAATAAACGACGCAGTTGCTTGACTAATTCATTAATTGCAAATATATTTTAAAGCATTGCACCATTTACAGTTACTACTAGGGTAATTGTTACTCTAGTTCACTGGAGATCGCTTTAGCTGACTGTTACGAAAAAAAAAAATAAAATAAAACATAAGGAAAAGAGGCGACAACACAAGCGGTGTTTCGTTTATTCCCCTCAATGTTGGCTAAACGTCGAAGGGGAAATTTCCGTAGTTGGGGAAGGCTATTCTCCACCCAACGAGAAACCCCGTATTTATAAATTCAACGTGGTGAGCACATGCGAAATACACCACAGTCCACACAAAGAAAAGCAGCTGCTTCGCACACCTGAACTTTTTCAGTCGCTTTCAATACTTGTGAAGTGGTGTGTGGCGCACTGATCACGTTTGTATGCCGTCGGAAGTTGGGAATTTCGCAGAAAATATACGCCCCTTTCGTTAATTTAATGCGATGCGCACACTACATACATAGATAAAACTTTATATATGTGCAAATGTGCCATGCCAGTATTATGTGCTTTGTTCACTTTGTCCACGCGATATTTAAGAGCAAAAAAACTTTAAAAAATTATAAGTTTATTATGTAATTAATATTTTTGCTGCTAAATACAAAGCGAACAAATCCAATATTTATCATGATATATATCAAAAATATTTAATTTCAGCATATTCAATGAGTCACTTACCGGACTATAGAGGCCTTTCATTCGCTCTGGATCGGGCATATGCTTTAGGCCGCCGACACAGCGTGGTCGACTGAGCGCAATTTGTTTGGCAACAGCACTGGCGCCACGGCCCAAGCGATGAGCGCGACTGCCCCGACCGCTACCTCGTCCAGAGCCTCGCCCTCGACCACGTCCACCTCGACCGCGACCACTAACGGGTGTGGAAATTGAACTCGTATTAGAGTCTTCTAAAATACAAAAAGGCGAAATGTCATAAACACACAATAGACATTATAGGAAACCGTAGAATCAATCCTTACCTCCAGATATATCCGCACCGCTGCCGTACGCGCCGCCACCTTGACTGGTAGAGTTATCGTCGCGTATATCGAATTTGGTGCCGTCCAGTGTTGCCTGCATACGTAACAGATCCGTTTCTAAGCTAGTGTTACACTGCGCTGCCCGCAGCTGTTGAGTTGCCATAAGCGAAGAGAAATCGTTTGGTCTGAAGACCACATCCGGCACGGGATCCGACGAGGAGAGTATGGTTGCAGGTGGCAGCATTGAACTGCTGCTTTGATTTTGTACTGCGACACTTATTGTTCCGCTGCTAGCGACAATGCTGCCGCCAGCTATGGTCATAGTGGCGGTTGTACTGCCATTACTGGCTGACGACGAGGATGAGCACATGGTCAAGTCAATTTGTGTCGCCAATGAAATGGAAGTAGGCACGCCGACGTTCACTGGGGCTCCAGCAGCTGTTGTCACAGTGGCAGAGCTCATGGAGCTGCTGGAGTAGGCAGAAGAGATGCTGGAATTAGAACCACCGTAGTGATTAAGGACGGACATAATGCTGTCAGACACTGAATTGGTGATTGTGGTGTTTGCTGGTACTGTTGAAGCAATAGCAGCGCTGCCGCCCAACAAAGCGTTCACCGAACGCTTACGTCCCTTTATAGGTACCTCGCCATTGTTACCGCTTGACTTGATCTTCGATGCTGGTGTAATAGCGCTTCCTGGTAAAATGGAACGCCGAGAAGTTCTTGCTCCTGTGCGCACTGTACGCTCTCGTTTCGACGCTTCAGTATCCATAGCACCTTCTATGCTGTGTTCCTCTGTTGGCTGCTCGGCGTCCACCATATCGATAGCGAGACGTTTGCGTAACAGCTCCACACGGCGAGACTTCGACACGCCATCGGTGGCCGGAGTGTCGACAGCACCAATACTGGGTATGTCATTTGACATGGTGGTAGATGCGGGCGTTGTCACAGTTGCAGATGTCGCAGCATTCTTTTTTGGACGACCGCGTCTCTTGATGCCGGCAGGGGTGTTTGCTGTAGTCGATTGCTCTGTGGTTGCAGCTCCCGCTTTCGACGACGTTAAATGTTCATTCGATGTGTAACAATTGGCGACTGTGTCATTATTCAGGTTGTACTGCAACGAGTCCTCTTCGTCCAGCGGTATGGCCAATAGATGTTCATGCCGTTGTTTGCGCGGACGATGAATCGAAGTCTTCGGAGAGGATAGATCCATTGTGATGGTGGAGTTTTCGGTTGGTACCACTTCGTTGCTGATGTCCACAACATGATGATTGCCTCCGAAGATGGTGGGCGACGTAGTAATCAATTTCGTGTTAGATGACTCATCGTCCGTCAATATGGTCAGTGTAGCCATGGTGTGGGATTCACTATCAATGCGACGAACTTTGTTTGGTGTGATCTATGAAAAGAAATAAAATGGCACATGCCAGGTTATGATAAATGTGAAGATACGTATGGAAAAAAATCACAGAACCCAATGATTGATAGTAAAAAATTAGGGCTTTGGATAAACTCTAAACTTAGTCTATAATTAATCCACACCCCACCCTTCCCCGTTCTTCACCTTCCAAACACTTACCTCAATGCAGTGCTCCTCTACGTTGTTTTCCATCATCAAAGTGGATATTGTGTTCGCATGTCTCTTCAAGTTCATATTATTCATTTCATTTGCTGAGGAGTCATTATCCAAGATATTGTTGTTGCGTCTCAGTATATCTGAGCTGTTCTCCTCATAAGTTCCACTGACCGTGGCATTATTTATCAAACCATCTTCGTTGTTTATGTGAAGATTTCTGGGCAACGCAGCGGCATCGTCCAGCGTCAAACGCGGACTACCTTCAGGAGTGTCCAGTATCTCAATCGAATCTATTACCTTTTCCATTTGCGGTGCCAACTGATTTGTCAGCGCTGCGTTATTCATTGGCGCCGTAGCATTGCTGACAGTGTGCATTATGTTTGAATTTTGGTGAACTCGTGCTCCATTTGCCATTAGCCGTTCTGTCAGTTGTGGATATTTCAGGCTATTGCTTATTTGTTGTGGCAGATGTGGTTGTTTTTGAACCTGTGACGGTTGCTGTTGCTGGTGGACGTGTTGTTGTGTTTGTAATGGTTTCGGCTGCAGAGGCGGTGGAGCACCGTATTTGCTAGCGTTAAGCGGCGAATTTAATTGATTAAGCAGAAGCCTGTTATCCAACGGCGGCGCAGTTTGTATTACGCTCATTTCACGTTGTAGACGCTCCATTAGTATGGTGGCTTGCGGCGGCTGCTGCGCATCGTTTACTTGCGGATCAGCGTCGGTGTAAGTGAAATGTGCAGGCGATGAACCCGGTGATGGCGAGGATGTCAAATCGACAGTGTCCACTACGTTGGATAGGTCGTCACCTGACATCGGCGGTTGCATTAGTTCCGTTTCTTCGGTATTATTCATGCGTAGCGAGTCACCATTGCTAACATGAAAAATATTATTGAACACCTGTGGGTCGTGGTTTTGCAAACCCTCATCGATGTCCATGTCGTCAGAGTTGCGTCGCGGCTCCTGTATATCCTCCTCCTCAGCAAACGCTGTGTTGTCGTTGTTGAAACCGCAGAACTCTTGACTGCTACTCGATTCGCAACCGTTAACTAACTGTTCGTGAGCACTATTCTCCCTACTTGGTTGGGAATCCAGCGACCGTTGCGTCACGCCGCAACCGGCTGTGGCGTTTATGTCGGCGACGGCGATGTTTTTTGGCTCGCTGGATTTTCCACACTTTTTTGACACATTACGTTGCGTTTTATCCTCCAGCACAGCTTTCATTCGCAAAGTTGGCGAAGAAAGATTCTTAATGGTTAGCTTGGGCACCAATTTGTTAGCGGCTGCGTCCTCTGCTGAGGACAATGGTGGCGAAGATTCACCACTCATACATTCATCACTCTCCTCTGAGGATTGCTGCTCCACGTTGGATATCGATTTGATCGTCAATTTGGGAATTTTCTCCTTACATTCGTTGCCGCCACCGTCCTGACTATTAGTTTTAATGGTCAGCTTGGGCACGACTTTTTCTACAGATGCATCACAGTTGCTTCCTTTGGTATCCTGGCGAGATATCATTAGCTTTGGCAGCCTTTCCGGCGACTCTGGCTTGCGTGAGCTGCTCGACAACTGCCGCACCACAAGTGGCGACTGCTTAGGTGATTGGGGTGCTGATCCACCTTCAAAATTTGCCATAGATATGGTCAGCTTGGGAATGGAGTGTGCGTGTTCCGCTTCGGTTTGCTGTTGCATGGTCTTAATGCAGAATTTGGGGGTCGTAGCCTCCGCTACTGGTTCATGCGTCTTTATTGTAATCTTGGGTATCTTCTCCGGAGGCGGTGCCGGGTCCTCGCTTAGGTCGCTGAGCGACTCTTCCGCATCCAATGATTTAGTTTTGATCGTCAACTTTGGTATGACTTGCGCGTTGGAGGTGTCGTTGTGTTGCGTTATAATCACCGCGTGTTCCTGACCTGTTTTGATCGTTAGTTTAGGTATTTTACTGCTACAACTGCCAGTTTCAATAACCTCGGTATTTGTATCTATAGAAGCGTTGGCCGCTGATGTCCTCACACAAGCGCCAGCTGCACTTGTTTTGATTGTCAACTTCGGCACCAGCTCCTCATGTTTGGGCGGCAAAGCTTTTATAGTCAACTTAGGCACAGAACAGGCGGTAGCATTTGATACGCTGCACGAGGCGGTGCCAGAAGATAGGGACGGCAAACCTGTGGACGAGGATGTACTCGACGATGATGAAGATGAGGATGCTGGCGATATCGTCGACATTATTGACTCGCTCGTCCCATCCAGAGATGTTTTTATAGTGAGCTTCGGCAGTGGCGGCGGTGAGTGGTCTGTCAGTGATTTTGCTGTAACGGCACTGTGCACCCCCGAAGTGGCTGATGTCAATTGGCTGTTGCTGCTATTGTTATGCAAATTGCTTTGCGAATCTGACATCTTGATTGTCAACTTGGGCACTACAGAGCTGTCTGAGCTGTCATTGGCAGAACGTATTGTCAATTTGGGAACAATATGAGGTTCATCGCTACAGCCACCGACGACTGTTGACCCCTTTATGGTCAATTTGGGTATTTGTGCGCCGACACGTGTGTTGCAGGTCTCAACCATCGCCTCATCTTCGGCTGAAGATGAACAATCCGACGATGCGACATCGTTGTGCTTCTTCACGATCGGTTTGATTGTGATTTTGGGAACTACATTCGTACTGCTACTGCTGTTGTGCGCATGTAAATTGATTTTGAGTGGCTCCACTTTGCGTGTCGATTCAGCTCCACTATAGCCGGCAATGCCGTCACAGCCACTCAACGTGTCGGTATTGCTATGAGATTCATTGGAGCGTGTATTAACGCTCGTAGCATTTGGTTTGGGTAATTTCAGTATGATCTTGTGTGTTTCGGTGTTGTGCTCGGTTTGCACTGTTTGACCTTGCCCACTGCCAGCCCCCGCACTCGCTGCATGACCGACAGCATTGGTGTCGCCGCTTGAGGCTACTGTGGTGGTTAACTGTTCGCGCGCAACCATGTCCGTATTGTCGCTGTCGCCGTTCGTATGCTCTAAACTACCGTTACTTATATTACTAATACTAATTTTGTTATTGTTGTTGCTGCTCGCAGAAAATACTGCGCGCATCAGTTCCGTCTCCACACTTCGAGCACCTGCTGAACGTGTCGCCGCTGCAGCAGAAGTTGTCGGCATCACCGAGTCCAACGCAGTGGGTATTGCGCGAACAAATGCGTGGACCGCACGTGCACCCGGTTTCACTAAACTTCGGCCAATAAAAGAGGATTGGGATTCATCCTCGCTGGAGGCATCCGTTGTTATGTCGCCGCGATTATGCGTCGATTGTCGGCCACTGCCGCTACCACCACTGCTGCTACTGCTGCACGTCGTGGACAACACACGCTGCGGTGAGGAGCTGCAGTCATTACCGGTGGAGCTGGTGATGCGCGCCGGCGATGTGATCAATGCCTCCAGACGCGGCAAATGACCGGTAGCGCTTATATGCGTCTCACACGAAGTCGAAGTGACAACTTGCTCCTGTTCTTCTTCAGCACTTTGGTTACTGGCCTGTACGTGAGCCAGAGCGGAGTTTTGGGTGTGATTGATTCTTCTACTGGCGGCGTACAAATTGTTCTGTGGGTTCTGTGAATCTTCGGGCGCCTGGTTGTTTGTAACATTCATTGCTTAGCTGCCTCTTCCTTGATTAAGTATTGGGATGGATGCCAAATCCAATCGAAGCCGCGCTTTGACGTCTTTTCGGATCAGTTAGCGTAAGAATGTCATATCTTCCTGTAAGAAATAAAATCCAAAGTATTTAAACTATTAGAAAAATATCTTAGTAAGGAACGTATAAGCGTCATGAGGAAGGAATCTATCTTCAATCGATCAAAAAATTCGTCCTATGAATAAAAAATAAATACAAGATATACATTGAGATCGCGACGTGCGTCTGCTATTCAGCCGACAAACCAACCAAGCAGCGCGCATCATAGACGTATTTGTCATCAAGTCGGGGAGTCACAAGTGTGCGAAACGTTAGCCGGTACGAGCTCACACGATAGGCGGATAGTCGCTTGACGGTCAAACGGACTGATAGGCAGACAGACGAGGTCCAGCCGGCGAATGGCGCGAGCAAAACAAAAAAAGGAAAATAACAAAATAGCACAGCGGTTTGGTTCTTAGTATGTTTCAGCAGCGGCTGTTTACCGTTGTTTCACCTCGTAGTAGCATTTAAAACCACGTAATCGCATCAGCTGTTCACTAAGCGCTCATAGCTGATGTTGTAGCTTCGTGCTGCTCTTGATGGTTGGTTCGGTGCTCTATTCCTTGTCTTTAGATTCTTCACCTTATCAAATACACTCGCTGCCACAGCCGACGTCGCGGCATCGTTGTGCTCTCAATGCATACACGCTTTGTACGCTCTCACTCACTCTCTGGCGCGCGCGTAACATAGCCAGTCTAGCGCGCAGTTCGTTTATATACTACAGCTAACAGCTACTACTGCTGCTGTAACGATGACGCCACCACAGGCGGACTGGCTTCCCCTTCGCCTAGGCGCGCCCCGAAAGTTCGACAAATCGACGGAGAGCAGCCACAATATTCAAAAGTGAGGTGATTCTTTGATTTACCATGAATTAAAATATTCGTCGTGTCAACAGGCGCGCGATTGCCGCTACTGCTGGCCAGCCACGACACGACAGTCAACAGCCAGCGCAAACACACAGCCAACCAGTCCGCCAAACCAATGGCAAAACAGTCAAGCCGAGGCAAATGCTATCACATTTGCAAATGGAACTCCAAGCGAAACACAACTAGCCAAGGCGACAACATCACGTACGGGCATCAGTAAATGCGAGTAATTGAATAGAAGTACGTCGACTCGTGCTAGTAAAGGCTTAAAGCTATGCAAAATTTTCATACGGTATTTGTTAAACTGAAGGAAGAATAGTGAAAGGATAAACTGTGGCGAGGCTCCAGAGGATCTACTGCAAGAATATATTGTATGAAAATGACACAAAAAATCCATAACTCGTGCCTTAAGATCATATTACAGCTGCTAGAAAACTTCTTTGCGACAATTGGACAAGATCAAAAAACGTTTCGGTACAAAACTGCTCACAAATTTTTTCTCCAAAGATTTACAAAAAAATTGAAGAATGAAATCTCGAATGGTTAGAATATTATTTGTACCTCAAAAAATACCCTATTATCTCTTAAACGAGAAGTACTCAATAAAAACAAATTATTCTTTAAAGGAAACGCTAATTCGAAATACGAAGAGTGATAAAATATTTTGAGCTGGAAAATATATGCTGTGTACTAGGGACCCCCAAAAAATATCTTTTGTTATTTTCGTGTGTTGGGAGTATGCAAAGGTTGCTAACGTTCACTGTTTTCCACCTTTACAGCACGACGAACGCTGCAAGCAAAACAATAAATTTGAATAAACAAGCGAGCACAACAAACATGAAACGCTACAGGAAACGAAGAAGCCGAGAAAACGTTAAGACTATGATGGGTCGATACCCAGCTGCCAGCAGTGCAGCTAATCGAGCAGTAATCGGTCGTGTGCCCTTATCGACCAAACGATATAACTTTCCGAGCGTTGCCGAACGTACAACTAACCGAGCAACACAAAACCCGAGCACTTACACTTGCACGACACCACAATTAGCAAGCGCCAGACATGACATACCAACCAACCTGTCGGCCGACTGCCAGACGGGCAGACACTTAGGGAACAGTATAGTGACGAGAACAAAACGCTGCTAAGCATCGCATGTCCTCCACCACAGCCTCCTCTACCACAACCAACACCGTATTATCAAAACCAAATGTATGAATGGCTGGCTCGTGAGTGAGTGAGGGAATGTATGAATGAACGTGCGGAACTAGAAAATGAGCAAACAAACGCACGATTGTTGCACCTTCTCGCTGCGCGCAATGTTTTGGTTTCGGGTCATTCACCCGCACAACAAACAGTCAAGCTTAGAGTCATACTCACTAACCGCCGTACACTTTCACATTCGCAAGCACCTAATAACAAAAGCAAAGGCCACAGCTTCGGCAAATACGTTTTATTTTGAAAAATTCCATTCAGTTTACCACAGTTAACCATAGCGAATGGCTTTGTTTTTGGCGGCTTGATAAGCGAGGCCATACAAAAAGTATTCGGTACTAACTGTGACAACGAATAATGCCGACAACGTTTGCGGTGATGACGAAGAGGATAACAGAAACCGCAGGCAGACAGTTGGGCAACTGAAACCCCATGCAAGGAACTTTACAAGCGCAGTAAACGTCATATGAACGGTGCTTTATTGACCCAAGCGAAGAAGCTGCATTACTCAGTGATAATGCAGTTTTAAGCCAGCGCTATTTTTAGCAGAACTGTTAAGCCAAATCAAGGTTGTTATTGCATAAAGTGCTTAGTTTTCAGTCAGGGACTAGAGCAAACAGTGCCTTACTATATCCCCCAGACAAGTTTGGGTGAGTATTTGGCCGAGTTTAAGGTCAAAGCGCAGTATTTAGCAATAAATGTTATGTTTAAACAAAAAGTGTTTTTTTTTAACCAAGTTAAATATAAAAATGTGTCTCCATACAATCATTACATATGTACATATATTATATGTATATGTATATTTTGACAATTACCCAAAATAAAAATAAAAAAGGGCATGTAAAATAATAAAAAAAAAATAAAATAAAAGCCTTTTAAAGATACGTTTTATTTTCAAAAATCTAATGAAGAGTATCTGAGAAACAGACTAGAACAATTTAACACTTTCTACTATTTATATTTGCATATACATACTATATGTATGTAGATATGTACACATATTTCTACTCGTTTATAGAACTCATGTGGCCGGAGCAGCAACCACTTACCGCGATAGACGTCATCAACATAAAAATTAAAGAATAACGATACGAAAATGTATGTATGTATGTATATTGAAAATTGTAATAAAGTTGAGAGCGATTTGCAAGCAAATAAAACAGTCACTTGTCTACTTATGTAAATTTATTAATACATATAATATTAATATGTAATATTTGATGTATTTATGTACATGTGTAGGTGTTTGCCGAAAGCAGCAAATACATTGCAAGAGGTGGCATATATGATTATGGCTATTCAATCACTAGCCTAGCCGTCAGCGGTAAATTTACGATACCATTTCAATATTATTATACATATATTTTTTTGTGTAATGTGTGCTTAGCAGCTTATGTGCTGACCTTGATATTTCTTAATTGTTTTATAAGTAAGAAATTAATCTGATTATGGCTTATGAGCAATCTGAGCTCACGAAAATACTTATTCAAACCACAAGTACACATGCACTAGTTTAAAGTAGTAAACATATAATAACATAATTTCCCGCGGAACTTGAGAAGAAGAATTTGCCGATATCAGCAATGATTTGTGGAAATTTGTTTTAAAACTTTTTCAAGGTAGCGAAGTAGTTTGAAGTGACGAATTTTTATTGACAACAATAAATTGTTTGTGTAAGAAAACTGTTACACGAAGTTGGATTCTTACACACATATGTATTATGGACACAGAAGAGATGTATCGGTGACAGCATTGAAAATCAGTTACTACACTTGCCGCGGCCGCACTTTGTTCATTACTTTTTATACCATAATTCAAAATCATTTTCTTTTAACATTCAGCACAAAAACTTCAAAATGAAATATACAAAAACTCACCAACTGAAAATTGTATATTATGCGGCTAGTTAGCACTTTTACGTTTGAGCGCAGACTTTCCATCCTCCCTAAGTTATGTTTTATTCTACTTGAGTGTATCAGCTCCCTCACCACCCTCTTTGACGAACATACACCGTGCGTAAAGACAATTGTGCTCATATGTATGTAAAGTTGTGTGAGCGAATGAATTTTTATGTATTCTCCATCACACCATTAACGTCTGCAAGCAAAGCTGATTTCTAAGCAAAGCGATGACTACTATTATTTTGTCATAATTTTCACCTTCACTATATACCATAAAGAAGCGAGCATGATACGTCGAGACTTTTATCGAATTTTTCTAGCACTCGATTAACAGAAAACTAAATGAAGTTCGCGTAAACGCAAACGTAACACACTGCACTACACGCGTTTCAAAACGTTGAACTTCGAAACCGAAAACGAGAACGAAAATGAGCTGCCTGCAGAGGAAAAATTGTGTTGTATCATTTTTTGTTAAATATACGCTGTGAAATTTTCAATGCTGTGCCAACGAACCAGTGCGCAACGTATGAACGAATCGTACGAACCAGCGTACGAAGCTGTATGAAGCAGAGCCAGCGATAAACACAGCGAAAGTATATGAAAAGAAACGATGGCGATAAAGCAACGAATGTCGTACGACGCCAGCTATAACCGACATTGGCTACAGCGAGCAAGCAGCGTGAGGGGTAGGTTTAAGCAGCAAAGTGCTAGTATCGTTACGAGCCGCAGTGCAAGGCAACAGGGGCAGAATGGTTGGGTGACGACAAAAACCGAGCACGCAGAGACCTCACGATCGTAGCACGGGCAGTACGAAGCACGTGCACAGTGCAAACATGAATAAAACACGATGCAAGGCAGAAACAAGTAGCATGTGGATAGACAAATATTCATACAAAGTCATTCGTATATTCGTATATGAATGTGTGTGTTCGTAATTTATGTGTGTGTATAGGGTGGATATAAGAGTGTAACAACAACAACGTAATCTGTTAAATGCCACCAAAATATGTTTAAACTTAAAAGCAACTGACGAAACGGCGAGCGGTAGAGGTAACCGCTGCGACAAAGAAATCAAAAGATACTTGAGCGCCTGCAAGCACACATACACATATAAATGCTTACTTAATTATGTTCACTCCAAAAGGCATGTCAAAAGGTATCGCAAAGATACAGATATAAATATGTTAGTAGACACGTGCGTATGTGCGCTGGTACGTAGAGAAACGTCCTATAGTGAGATGTTAACGGCGCAGCAGAGATCGAATTAAAACATACATACATACATATAATAAGCATTCGCAAATATAGACAAAAGACAACAGCCAACAAATCTCATTCGCTGCCTAATACTTCGTCTGGCGAATGTCGAAGCGTCGGTGTGGGTGCTTGCTCGTATTGTGGTAACAATTCAGAACAAATTTCGCGTTTTTCACCATTAATAAACAAAATTCGACTTCGTTGACTGCAATAGCAAATGCAACAACAACTAGTGTTCAAGTATGACGAATTAGCCTCGTTGAACACGATTATCATACATTTTAAATAGATACTAAAGAATATTACACGCAAATAAATACAAATGTTATTACAAATTTGCACATCAAAATAATGTTCATTAAAAATATATGTTTGCTCGAGCGTGCACTCGTTTCGGCAACTATATAACTTTAGATAAGTACATAACATGAGGAACGTCCAACCAGCCCACAGTCCAATTGACGATTGAAATTTCAACAGTATGAATGTAATATGTCGAGCTAATATAGAAATCGGGGCATCCAAAACGAAAGAAAACAATGAGCCCCACTCTGAAGTAGGGACGAAAGAAAATGAGCGAAGTGATTTGCCAAGATAGGGTTCATATTATCTAAAGTAGTGGAATGTGGAGAATACCATTCGAACTACTAGTAATATTTTCAACCGTTTGGTCACCCCTATAAAGGCATTTGCATTAAAAGCTGCTGCACAAAACATCTCTAACAAGTTCCTCAGCTGATGGGCTAGATACATATGTATGTGGCAGAGTGGGTGTATTGGTGTTGGCCTCAGAAGATTTCGTTTTCACTGTTCGTAGGTGTGTATATACATACAAATATTACAAAATAAAGATAGTTGGAATGCTGAGCGTAGCAAAGAAAAATGCAAAATTAACTCAACAACAATAAATAGACATGTAAAATAGCGAGTGCTCATAATTGCAGTGCTTAAAATAATTGGACAGGTCCAGCACTAAATACAAATTTATTCATATAAATGTGCTTTATCTATTTATACCTTCTTAATCTTATTTTATAATAAGTTTTGTTTATTTAAAATTCCACTATAAAGTTTAAAAAATATTGATATCTAAATAATTTTTAACACTTTAAAACCTGAATATTTAATCAAATAATTAAATTAAATGTAAAAATTATCTTCCTGACAGATAAAATACAATGTCTGTAATAAGGCTAGCGCTATGCGGGTCAATGGGAGTGGCTGCTTACAACTACAAATTATTCTTTGAAGTATTTTTTACTGTTGGTGCAGTGGGATTTGAATGAAAACAAAACTATGCATCAAAAATGTTTCGTGACGGAAAATAAAAAAATACACAATGTTTACAAGCAAACAGTGATATTAAATGTGAAAGCAAGAGGTACTATAACGAAAACAAAAAAGATGGAAAACTAAAAATAAAACACGAATGCAACATACATATGTATAAACTCTTGAACATAAAAAATGGATAAGCGAAAGACGCGGGAGAATCGCAAATATGTTGAAGCGTTTAAGCCACACATGGACAAAAAAATACCAATGTATGTACACACATACATATGTACGTAGACAAATATTTAAAAGGCAAATATGTATTTCACAAGATTTGGGAAGTAACTGTAAACAATTTAGTAATTCGCTAACATGTAAAGAGAAATTCCTCATAACCTGACACGCATTGTCACAATGTTGTTGTTGTTGTTTTAACGATTGCCTAATCCCCTTGAGGATGGTTGTCGTCGAAGTCAACTAACGGGGGGCCCAAGAAACGTGCTGTTTCGATGAGGTTGGATCAAAGCGAAAAGGGTGTCAGATGAGTGAAGTTGACGGGCATGCAGAGAGGGGGCCGCGCAGGATATGCAAAGAGGTGGCATATGTTGGATATGTCGGGGTCTATTCTGCATAAGTAGGAGTTTAACCTGCTACAATATCCACAACGAAATTGCGCAAGGATCGCAATCGATTCATGCGGAATCTTGAGCTCTTCGTCTGCAATGGGTGGTGATTTGACTCAAAGAACGCCATTCACTGGAAGGGAGTCGGTGAAGGTGTATATTTAGTGCTAGAAGCTCCAACTCAGAACTACATACAGTGATGTGCGATGAAATAGAGCCAGTACTATCGAAATTATTTAAATTAACAAATCATATAAAAATTCACTTTTTTCATTTATTTCTTTAATAGGTAAAAAAGAACAACCTATGAGACGTATATTAAAAAAAAATTAAACAGTTTAAGTCTAAAACATAAACGAAAAAATTCAAAANAATTAATAGCACATTTTCACTGATTTGTTAAAAATGAACTCGAAGTTGAATTCAGAAGTAACGGGAAAATATACACAGACGATGTGAGTACTGAACTACAATTAGTTCATGGCATGTTAGATTCTTAAAAAAAATTTAAGCGCAATAATATCATCAGAAAATGTATGGCTTTATTTCATCGCACATCACTGTACATACATACATACATATATTTCTACTAAACTAATTAATGCGAGCCATGTCAGCTGGAAGTGAATGAATGACAATTATCCTATTAGTTTTCGTTGAGCCACCGAGAACCATAAGGTGTTAGTGCAAGTCAAATTGTTTGTTGTGATCATTCAAGTTCCGCAAATTGGTAAAAATTAAAAAAAACTATTTGCTTAGAACATTTTATGAAATATTGTCCGCTTAACAGAGATGTTTTGAACGAAATATGTACATACTACGAAAATAAATAAAATAACAAAATATATACGAAACGCGTCTTTGAAACACACTCATGCCTGGTTAGGGGAAATCTCTTTGTATAAAGATCTTAATGAAAACGTTGTGTTCATGAAATTTGCCCAGTTATGGGAGCTGTTCGAATTGGGGAATTTCACTGTTTAATCTCTTTCGGTTGTTGACATTTGTTGTTACAGTCGGAAGAAAATTATAATTGAGGTTATTAGATTTTTCTATCGATTAATAGCATAGAGTTAACTTAAAAACTCGAAAACTATAGGAAATAACCCTTAAAAATATGTATATGAAAGCTTCATATGCCTATGTATGTAAACAATACAATAAAAAATAAACATTTTGGGTATTTCTTACATTATTCGTGAATCATAAAGTTGGGTTTCATTTGCAGAAAAGCCAATGCACTTTTCACCTCAAAATCAATAAAGTATCGATGGGCCTCAGCATTGCAAGTAAGCGCATTTTATGCACTCCAGGGCTGCTGAATTTAAGACTACCTCGCTCTCCCCCGATTATTGTCGACTTTTACTTGCGTCTGATAAATGGAGAATGTTTCTAATGTATAACCACGCTTCCACCCAAATGCACCATGTTTCTTTGATACCTTCCAACACATCTTCATTTACAAGAATACATCAAAAATGTATATTTTAATTTCTATACATACAAACGCATAACATATGTACTTGTAGATGGGCATATGTATATAATAAAGTATCGTATTGTCAATCGGTTTTGTATTCTGCAACAAATGTTAGTGCCATTAACTTGTGTGCTCTTGATTGTAGCAGGGTCGACATAAGCAATTTTACAAAACGCGCGCTCGTCCGTTAAATAACTCTATGTAGGGGAAGCACACAGATACCATACATTGCGAAGCGAAAGAAAAAATAACAAACGAGGGAATGCAATGTGGAGAAATTTGTGAAAGTGAAGAAATGTTGTGATTGTTTGGAGAAAATACAGAGAAGTGGAGAATTGTAGTGCATTACAACTCAAGTGTGGTGAACTTACTGAAACGAAAGAGATGCTTACTTGAATGTTCAACCCTTTACAAGTGACCAAACAAAAAGCTTTCTTTAAATAATATAACACTTCTAGTGTCTTATCCTTTGTCTGTGTTATATATTTTTTTAAGGTGATATCCGATAACGGTACAAGACAATATCCACATAATTAATTAAATAATTACTGTAAATTCTGCACAAAGCCGGGCATACACAAGGTCTTATTTGAAAGACAAATATTATTAATCACAGGAGAAGGCGAACACGAATTTCGAATCGGTAAAAAGTAGCTAACATTTTTATTCTATTGAACACTGTTATCCAAGCATACACTGAGCAACACCGCTTATGGTCCAAAATGGTTATATCTCATATTACAATAAATGTATTTTTCTTTATCTACATATTATTGTATAACTATGTGTGAATGTGTGAGCATGTAACACATTTAAATTTATTTTTATTATAATACAGATCATTAGCAATTACAATGTTTTTCCCCTTCTTATCACGCACTACTCCCCACCAGTTCGTTAAAAAACCCACCATACCATAATCAAATAACGCGTCTCCTCGCGCGCAACGAACGAGCATGGTGCCAACAAAAAATGCAAAACAACAAAAATAATAGCAAGGAAATACTCACCATTTTAGCTTCGCACATTGAAGAATACAATGCTTACATATGAAATGGCAAGAGTTGTGTTTGTGTATGTTCGTTGTGTTGTATTTAATGGTATTAATTCACTTAAACTTATTAATATATTAATATCTTCACTTCTCATTCAATAAAAACTTTTAGCACTTGTAATATTTTTCTTATAGTGTCTTTGTTTTACATAAATCATACAATTTAGAGTAGTAATTTTAGCTATCAACCGACATTTGAAAGCGAACAACGAACGCGCATGTAATTTAACGAATACCTCCGACAATTTGTATGAAAACAGTGCGTGGCGGACGAGACGAGAACCCACTGTGAGTGTGAGTTTGTTTGTGTGTTACACTCGATGTTTGTATTGGTTGGATGCAAGTCTGGCACAATTTTTCTACACAGCGAAGCAATTTTTACACAACTTTTTGTCAAAATATCTTTCAATTTAGTATCTGCAAAGAATATGTAATGCCTTTCCTTATTAACGTCTTTAAATCACAATAATAACTCCTCAACTCGCGCGTACCAAAACGCTCACAATCAATTTAAAACTTCCCGCAATGAATTTTTCATCTTCACTGTTTATGCTTCTCACTTCCTTTAGCAGCTATTATGTTTTAGCACGAATTTGCTGGCACTGGTACTTATTCGCCGCGCTGCTGTTCTACGGTCGCCTTTTCAGTATTTTACGACTACACCGCTCTCGTCACTCACTATTGGCCCACTTTCATTTTATTTAGCTTTTAGTACTTTTATATTTCATATCACCACCTTCGAAATTATAACAAAGGTTGTTACGTCTTTTTTGTCACTTTTCAACTTAATATTAGTTTATAAATCTTTCTTTTTGTACCAAATATATCTGATCTGAAATAACACTATAAATGCGACACGATGCGTTTCGCTGCGAATAAATTGTCAGACCAAAAATTGAACAACGAATGAACGATGACGCACAGCATTGCCAGGCATGTAAAGCGCTACAGAGCCCTTAAATATGGCTAAGATAATTAACAAATATTAAATGTTTTAACCAAAAGTCCCCCCAGATAGGTTTATATACTAGAAATTTTCATCCTCATAAAAAGAATTACTATTATGACAAATAAAATTTCATTTTGATCTCTTAAGCAAAATCTCTCGATTTTCAATCTGCTTAAAATATAATTCTAATTCTAATAAGAGAAAGTGAAAACAAGTTTATAGATAAGTGTAAATTTTCAATACGCTTTAAGTGTTGTTTCCAGAATGAAAATTAAAACAATATAATAAATAAGTGCGAATTACTAAACTATTAATAAATATATATATATCTTTTTTTTGGAAATGCGTAAAAGGGGGAGAAACTGCAACACTGTTCTCAGAGTTCTCTTTCATTTTAAACAACTGATTTACAGCGCTCTCTCTAGTTGAAGCGAACAGCTGTTTTTGTGTTGAACCTGGAAATTTACCATTGCACAAAAACTTAAATACTAATATTTTCAGTTTTTATTTGAAAAATGACTACATTACGCCCATTCACCTGCGACGACCTCTTCAAATTCAATAATGTGTAAGTGCTTGCTTTTCATTGCAACCGTTTGTGATTCAGTTCGGTTTATTTCAACAAACCAACCTATTTTGTACAATAAATGTGATTTTTGACCCTTTGCAGTAACTTCGACCCACTAACCGAAACTTACGGACTTTCGTTTTATACACAATATTTGGCTAGATGGCCTGAATACTTCCAGTTAGCTGAATCCCCAAGTGGCCAAATTATGGGTTACAGTAAGTACAAAGCTTTGAAACGAGTGATAGTCATCGATACACATATATTTTATTTGCAACTACAGTTATGGGCAAGGTTGAAGGTCATATGGAAAATTGGCACGGTCATGTAACTGCTTTGACCGTTTCACCGGACTACAGACGTCTGGGCTTGGCTGCTTTACTTATGAATTTCCTGGAAGATGTCTCCGAAAAGTTTGTATATTTTAATCCCACTTATATGTATTTACTATACAAGCTTTTCTATTATTTAGAAAACGTGCTTATTTCGTTGACCTTTTTGTGCGCAAGAGTAATCAAGTAGCAATCAATATGTACCAAAATTTGGGTTATATAATTTATCGTACTATACTTGATTACTACGCTGGGGATCACGACGAAGATGCTTATGGTAGGTTGAAAGATTTTTATAAGCTTCATGCATATGCAAATAATTTTAAATAATTCCATGTATTTTTAAATTAGACATGAGGAAGGCACTCTCCCGAGATGTAGAAAAGAAATCTATTATACCATATACCCACCCGGTACGACTGGAAGATTTAGATACCAATTGAGTTTAAATGTGCATTTTTGCTGCTTGCAGTCATGATAAAACACACGAGCATCCTTAAACAAAATAATTCATACAAAACATTACAAACAAAAGTAAAAAAAACCTATATACTACAAACATGCAATAAATAAATTGTAAATCAAAACTACTCCTTCTCAAATGTGGCTAATTCGTTGGTGTCAATTGCTTTCGCATTTCTATAAAAGCTGTTAACGCGCATACTGTTTTATATATATATTTTTTTTTAATAGACATGTTTATGTAACCATTTGTTTAAAACCATTAATTCTGCTCTTAGGGCTGTAACTAATTATTTGCAATCTACTACATATTTGTATCTACTAGTAAACAGTTAAAATCAAAGGCATGAGCTATGAAATGCTCTTCAAGAGTAAATAATGCACCACAACATAACACATTCTAACCATAACAAGGTAAATTCATTATACATAAATGTATATGCGTGTGTTTAAATTGAGCATTAAATTTACTTAAAATTAAAATTTTTATTAAGAATTTAATTTTTTGCAGATTACAACACATCAACTACACCAAGCAAACCAAATGCACATTTCTTCGACTTAAAGTCGAAGTAGAAATGGTTTCAAAAATTGCAAGTCCATGGTATCACAACTGATGTAAATGCTAATGCCTATACATATTTATTTTATATGTCATTCATATCAGTTCTTGGTTTTATAAACATACTTCAGAAGAATTTATTAAAATTATTACATATGTACATATGTACATATTCGAAAACTTGTTTTTTTTATTTTAGAAGTATTATCAAACATTCATAAGACAAATTATGTGTTGCAACGAAAATTTTAATTAAAAAAGCAGAAAAAAATGTTGGAGGAAAAACTAATTAGAGAAATTCAGCAAAACGAATGTCTTTGGAATAAATACAATCCGGACTACAAAAACAAGCGAAAGAAGGATATCTGCTGGAACTGTGTGTCAAATAATGTCGGCGAATCTGGTGCAAATTTCGTTCATTAACATCCGCTTCTACCAATATTTATTAGTTTTTCTTCTTCTAAATCAGTGGAGGCCTGTCGCAAGCGTTGGAAGACTTTAAGAGATCGTTTTGTAATTGAATTGAGCACAAGAAGTAAAACGGGCGGTAATGTGCACACAAAGAAGGAATGGCTATTTTTTGAGCAACTATTTTTTCTTACTGCCGGCATGACACCAAAAGGGTGAAATAGTTTCTTTTCTTTTGTGTGTTCACAACCTACATAGTTAAACTTTTAGTTCTCAATCCGCGCCATTGCTCAACACGCAACTGACACATCAGCCTAAATTGAAGAACCACAGCGACAAAAGAGAAAAACAACTTGAAAGCCCAAGATCCACCGCCGTAAAGGATGCCAGTGTTGCTATGGGCGCTGATGCACAGCGATATGCTAACTTGGATGAAACTTTTCGTACACTCGTGGAGAATTATTTGAATTTTGTAAACACCTACAAACAGTCCGCCGATCCGTTCCTGTCTGTTATACAAGAATTTTTCGACAAAGTGCCACAACACCGGCGAACAGCATTCAAAATGGAAATACTCAACTACACCTACAAAATGTACATGGAAATGAAGGATTGAGCAATAAAAATAAGCGCGATTTTTTAAACGCGGCATTCCACACATCCTTTTCAACGTGGCACACTTCTTTATGTACATTCGACCGGTAGTTAATTCACTGTGTTGACTTAACTTATTGACACGTGAAGGTTAAGGTCCCCAGAATAAAGTCCATTTGAACATTTTTGAATTGGCACTTCAAAGTCAACCAATTTATTATAAAATATATAATAACTAATAGTTTGCTTTCTGGTGGGCCTTTTGGACTCACGTAAAAATTCCTATATACAGCGCAAAACCACAATGCACACATATGTACATACATACATGTATATCTACCGGAAGTACGCTATGCGCGCTAGAGAGTTTATGAGCAGCTATCATTACCGCTACAATTCGCACAGTTAACAATAAAAAAGCAAAATGGCGTAAGCTTGAGCATTTTTCTATTAAATTCATAGACAATTGAAAATATTCTTGGTGTAAGAAAAATCATTCGTTTTAGTTACTTCAAAAATCAGTAAACCTATTTGATTGCTTTAAAACAACGATGTTTATATGTATGTATATTCTTACATAAATATGTATGTATGTATGTACATTTGTGTATTCATATTCATAAGTGATAAGCCGAGATATTTGCTGACTAACGGTTTCTTCGGAAATACATACATGTGTATTACCCTTTCTCTCAATTTCCCTAGAAATATATATATTTTTGATATCCTTGATATCTGTTACATATTTCCCACACAAATGTGTGCTCATATTCCATTTTACAATACTTCGTTCATTCGCTCGTTATTTCATTCCGTATCCGCAATCGCCCATTATTTATCACCTTTTCCTTTTCGTTGCCCCTTCGCCATTCGTTTATAAAACGCTTCTTATTTTACCGTCTTTTTGCCTGCTCTTCTTGCTTGTTCCAAAGTAAAAGGCACAAAATAACTTATGACCGCTACACACACATTCACACACAACCTATAGTGTGCAACAAAACAACAACAACAACGTCAGCGATGTAAAATTCAAAAATGAGAAAGGCAGAGCAACGATTATTCAAAGGAAATTCGAAACAAGCGACAATTTACAACATCGCTTTTTGTGCATTCAACAACGTAGCAACAATACACAATGCTTGCATCGGAATAGGCGGTCGCAGCAGAAACGGCAATGTAACCAGAACCAGCGATGAGTCGGCAACCAGCTTAGCAAGCATTCATTAACGAACGTTGTCGCCTATTCATCGCTCCCTGTCATTGCGCCTGTGTGTATGTAGTTGTTTTGTTGGCCATTAATGCCGCACACAGTTGTCGCTTATCGACATACATCGAGTTTTTCAACCGAAGCGCAAAGTCGCTGCAAAGCAACAACGCTACGCGAGCACTGTGCGAATGAGCTGAGAAAACGCACAGCTGCTGACAAAGGCAAGCGCATATGGTGTCGTTTTAGTTGTCGCTGCCACTCTACAGTCTTCCATTTTCGCACACACACTGTGTGTTGTTGTTTTTGTAACAACACACGGTTGTATTATGGCCTGCCGCACGAATACAGCCAACCACTTCGGTCTCACCGAGGGTCGTGCGGGTTTTTTCCATGAGCTGTTTCGATTTTCGCTGTCGCTGGCAATACCCGATTACAATTATTGAATTTTTTTGCCGTTTGTGTATGCGCATATGAGTGAATACCTACAAAGTTACATGTAAACTTTAGCAATTATGCATACTCTTCTGTTATACACATATACTTTAATGACAGTGTATACTTGTGAACAGTTTACACTGAAGATATACATATGTATGTATGTAATTGGGTTCAAAATCTTAGAAAATTTCATTTCGAAATTACTAAAAAAATTGAGCAAGAAAAAGGTCGAAACGGTCACTGTGCGGAGCACAGTTCACTAGCCGTTCCCATTTGTTTGTGGAATGTTTAACGTCGCATTGCAACCCTGAATCAAGATAGCCGCGAATTGTGTGCGGCGAACGGTTGGCGAGTGCAGCCGATTTCTGCTGGGCGGGCGATTACCGACGCACTTGGTACAAATGGACGCGCTACAAATCGCTGTATATTGAAATAAGTAAAGCGAAAACTTGGTGAATACAACAACAAACACCTTGATGCAGTTGCCATGTGATTCCAAACGCAATACCCATAATATGGTTCGAATATTTCCAATACACATCTGCAAAGTAATTTCTGATAAAAATTTTACCCAGCACAAGCAGTCCACAGTATAATTTTCTTAAATAGCTTTGCTAAAGGAGGTCAACTATTTTTAGGGATCACATTGACGTTAGGTTGCTAATAAGTATCTATTGTAAATCAATCCAATTCTATTAAATAACATAAGAGATCTTGCAAGAAGTACACGCTTCCAATGATATGTAATTTGGAATTAGAACTGAAAAGGGAATCGGGGACGTTATCTCCCGGTCTTTGAATGCTCAGGGCGGCCTAGTTACAACCTTTTTCTTCTCCAACAATTGTGAAATCAGAGGGCCCGCATTCTGTATTCTTCCCTGAGCTCGAGTTTTTCTACCACTCTGTGTACAGCATATATTAAAAATTCTATAAATTGGCGGAGGGTTCACGCATGTGCGCAACGTTTTGGGGGTTAAAATTATCGTCGAGGTGGCATGATCATTCGAAGCAGAAGGCAAACAAGCAGGCAAGTGTGATCGCAAACTGAAAAATCATCGGTCAGGCAGCAACGTTTTCGACGGCGACTAGTTTAGGTAAACCTCAAATCGCATTCGCACAGCAACGGCAACGACTACCCGTGTACGGCAAGCAGCACACAGGCGCACATACATCAGAGTGAACAGTGTGAAGGCGCTGTTGTTGCTGAAATAAAAGCAAAACGAAGTCCAACGAAACGAAGTGAACCACAAAAAGGAAATGGCGATAAAACGAGAGAAAGAGTTCTGTCGATTTTTATTCGTCGCTCGCGTAGACTGCGAAACTTGAAAGTGAATTGAAAATAATTTTTACTGTCAGTGGCGTAAAGGAGGTGATTTCGAAGATAAAGTGTAGTTTTTCAGGCGCAAAGGAGTCACTATTGACGTATTTTGAATTGAGGTGAGTGCAGAATTGTATTTAAGAAAGTAGCTGTGTAATTTTAAAGTAAACTAATAGTTATGATTTAGGGGGAAGAAAGTGTTAAACATTTGTTCAGTGTGTTCTTTCTTAAAAGTAAAAATGATTTTATAATATTCTGACCAGGACAAGACTATTTGCAATTAAAATCCTTTGTACAAAACAAAGCAGTGAAAAGATTCGCTTCTGAATATAAAAGAAAAAAAATGTGGGAGTTATTAAAAAACTATAAATTGAACGCCTTAAAATCGTTTGTATTCAATTATGGCAATAAAATGTGCAAGTTGATTAATTTAGGATTGGTCAGTGCCTATTAAATAGTATAAAATAACCAACATACGCTTTATCTTCCACACAGCCATTACGACTCATCCACCACCACCACAAAAACCATTGTCATTATCATCACTACCACAGTTGCGAGTGGTACAAACACTAGCAACAAGCAACCACCAGTGCAACCACTGTTTCGCTAACCAGCATTGCCATCGATCGATCCATCTGCCAGCAACAGAAATAGCAACGGGCACATTATTTATCAGAGAGTACATTTATAGTTGTCAGCGTGATCGTCATTATAAACACAGCTGTCCTCAATATGACAAGCAACAAGGACACTGCGTCGTTCTTCGAGAACGGGACAACGCATCAATTCGAATACTGTTATAAACTTTATCCACAAGTGCTGAAGCTAAAGGCAGAGAAACGCTGCAAAAAGCCTCAAGAACTTATTCGGTTGGATGAATGGTATCAAAATGAATTGCCAAAGTTAATAAAAGCACGAGGGAAGGATGCGCATATGGTCTATGATGAATTGGTACAGACCATGAAATGGAAACAGTCTCGTGGAAAATTTTATCCCCAACTTTCGTACCTGGTCAAGGTAAACACACCTCGTGCTGTTATGCAGGAGACAAAGAAAGCTTTCCGAAAACTGCCTAATCTAGAGCAGGCCATAACGGCGCTATCAAATCTTAAAGGTGTCGGCACGACTATGGCTTCGGCGCTGTTGGCGGCTGCTGCTCCTGATTCAGCACCGTTTATGGCAGACGAGTGCCTAATGGCCATTCCAGGTTGGTAATAATGCTATACTTGATATATATGTACATGTATGAAGGTGTGATATAATTAAGGTCAAGAAAATATTTACTCAATAATTTGCTTAGTAATGTAAAAATATCAATTAAACATTTATTATTTTTTAATCTTTTTATTCGAACTGCAGAAATCGAAGGTATCGATTATACCACCAAGGAGTACCTCAACTTTGTGCAACACATCCAGACTACTGTTGCACGCTTAAATACAGAGGCTGGCGGAGAAACACCACATTGGTCTCCCCATCGTGTGGAATTGGCACTCTGGGCACATTATGTGGCCAACGACCTGAGTCCGGAACTTTTGGATGAAATGCCAGGACCTGGTGCTGGCGTAGGTGCAAATACCAATGGTAGCACAGTTAAGACAGCAGCACAGACCGATAAAGTGCTTGTAGGAGAGGATACCAATGATGGAGATGATGAGAGTTTAGGTGCAGGTGTGTATAAAAATCCGGTTTTCTATATTTCTCCAAAAGTATTGATTTATATGTTATTTTAGTTGACAATGAACACATTAATCCAGCACCGATTGCAACAGTGCCGACTGCCCTGCAGGATGGCGACTCAAACTTTGTTTCGAACGACTCCACCTCACAAGAACCCATCATTGATGAGAATACAACTCAGACCACAGCTACAACCTCAACCGACGACGGCGAAGTGGGCACACCGCTCGCATCCGATTCAGAGAGCAACTTGGAAGCACCCGAAAAGGCTAAACTTAAACTTAATAATAGCAACAGTAGCATAAATGCGAATACAAATAGTAATAGCGATGTTGTGGGCATTGCACATGGTGTCGGTGACAACAGCAACAACTGCAGGCAGAAAGCTGGTATCGATGCGTTAGTTGGTAATAGCAACGGTAATGGTAACGGTACTTTAGTGTCTTTGGGAGCAGCCGGCAGTGATGGGGAGAATAGCAGTTGCCTACGGTCAACAGGCAACGAAGAGGCAAGCGAGGACGATGTCGATGCTGAGGACGACAGCAGCAACAGCAACAGTCGCCACATTGAACAGAGCCACAAATCGATAACCCCGCTATTTGGTGGCAATTTGAACGATTCTACAAATTACACAAACGCCAACGCCAGCGATTCTAACAACGATTCCACGCTTAGCAGCGCTGCCGGTGTTGTATCGCAAAAGCGTGCACTGCAATGTGAAGGTGCAAGCGATGTTGACGGTGTTTTTACAGCGGATGAAGCCAACAGTCAACCAGAACCGAAAAAAATACGAAGTGATTAGGTAGAAGACGCAGAGCAAAGTTTGTGAACGGGCTAGAGGGGAAAGCGGTTTAAATAGAGCGTAATTAAAAATTTAGTATATAAGGAGCGAACGCGCTGGCCTGTAGGCAGGTGAAAAGACACATACCTAACAATAATAACACTACAACGTGCCGCTATTTAGAAATATGGGCGAAACAGCGCGTGTAGCAATGCAGGATCACATTAATTCTATAATTTTAAGTAAAATTTTTACGGTTATCATCTTAATAACACACACTGAAGTGTAACAAAATAGTAAGCTAGAAATAGGCGAGCGAAAAAAACAAATTAAATGCGTTTATCAAGCGTTTAAATACGTTAAAAAATATTTGACATAAAAATCGTTATTGATGCCTGTAAGCCGAATTAACGAAAACTCGACGTGCAGTTAAAAAATGCTATTATGCAGCAACAACAAATGCCTTGGAACTATTCAGTTCTCAGAAATAACTTGCACTCGCTTGCATGCTTTCTGTTTCGAGCAGCTGTAAAATTTGCATTTCATTGCCGTTTTTAATTTACCATTCAGACACAAGTAATTTTATTTTTATTTTTTAATATCGGCTATTTATCAATAAATAAGAAAAGCTTCAAAATTAAAACTTTCTTGAAAGCAAAAAAAAAAAATACTTTAGTTTAATAATATTTTTTACATAGTTTATCATTAAAGCGTATTTATTTCTGCATTTTTACCACAAGAGAGAACACTTCAAAACACTACTTTAATTAAATAACTAGCAAAAAAACATTACGTACATGTTTATTAGTTTACGCTAAATGTAAAAAATATAAAAAAATATGCAAATATGTACGTGCATATACTTACTTAAAGAATACTGATATAATGAAAGTTGGGAGGAAATGTGAGTAAATGGAAAAGTGTAACAATACAATTATTGAGATAAAGCATTGCAAAATCATAACACGAAATTATAATTATTAAAATAATAAAAATACAGTAAGTAATGCAAGTTATTTTTAATTTAATTAGAAACGTAATGTATACTACATACTTTAAAGGAAAATTACAATACAACACACCAAACCACACACATACATACATAAATACATGCAAAGAAATATACATTCTACCAACAGATTCAAGCACACGCCTGCAAACAAATTTACTACATAATAAACAGTGATAAAAACAACATGAATTGGTTCTATTTTCCACGTGCGATTTTATTTTAAGTTAAGCGGGTAAATATGTTTCATTAAAAGTTTTTCAAATTTACTTCGGCAAGCGCCAAAAAATTCAGCTAAATATTTTCAATTGGATCTGAAAGCGAATATATGCATACATACATATGTATGCACGTATGTACGTGGATAACAAACATTTCTATCGCCAACATTCTTTTCTATCTAAGCAAATGAAAGTATATTAAAAAAATAATAGACAAATACGCAAAGTGATCAACAAATTCCACTACTACCTTAAATAGAAAGCAAAATATAAAATACAAATCGAAAAGTTTTACAATAGCGCATTTACAACTTATAGAGAGCAGCAAAAACCATATACAAGAAATCGGTAAATAATTTTAGGTACACATAATGACATTTAGTTGTAATTTAATTAAGAAACATTTATAAACAAATATAGAAGAAAAGAAAAAATGAGATAATCCAAGCATAAAATAAATTGAAAAGTATAAATATACTTAGGTAATAAAAATTTTGTAGTAAAAAAAAATCAAAGCGCAGCGTAAATATTGTAGTATTATACAATAAAACCTGGCTTCTATTTAACAAGATAAGTTGGGAATATACCTTGAAAAGGAAAGTATAACACTCCAKACGCAGACGAGCGGATATTTGATGCACCATGTTGGGGAGGTGGGCACAGAAAAATAATGTAATTGCAAAGAAAGAGCGACAGCAACGGTATATAAAGAACAACAACATTATAAAAAGTAATAAACACACATTTCAAATAAAGATACTCATTTTCATTTTTAAAACGGATATGGGAACGCGCTTGCATGTATGCGTAGCCAAATTTGTTGGGAAGACTAGACTGCTGCCGGTGGGTAATGGCAATATATCTGACTATTTCAGATTAATATTTGCTAAGCGTTGATTACCGTTTGTGATGGGCCTATATAATCTAGATTCTGGTAGTAACACAGCCCACAAGCCGTTCAACGCAGCTAGCCAAAAGAGCATGTTTTATATGTATGTTTAAGAAGCGCTTTTAATATCAGAAATATACTTGTTGGATTTCCCACGCTGCAACTGATTGTCGAATAATTAGGTCTTCAGATTTTTAGCTTGAAATAAACCAACTAGTAATAAAATATAACTTAAGTTAGCATTTTACTTACTTTCACTTGCTAAACGCATACATTTGGACATGAAACGTTTTGCTTACATCAAAATGGCGCAACCAGTTTCCACTATAATTTGGTAATGTATTTTATTTAAAGATGAATTTTAAATAATATCCAAGCTGCTTTTATTAATTTTGTAAAAATCGCTTTTGTGATCACTCGCTGTTCTAACTGCTCGTTGTATTAATTTTGTCAAAAATGCATGCATACATTAATATGTACATATGTACATGTAGATTATGTATCCAAGCGTGGTTTGCAACGAATTTAACGCTTTTTAAACAGCAATGCATTAGCGAACTTCCGCTAAAGCACAGTGTGTCGAAAGTTCAGAAATCCAGCCAAATAAAAATGAGCTCTATCTATCTCATGCATACATATAAAAAAAAGTACCCATGCGTAAGCATTCATTTGAAAATCTATCCATCCATATTGAACAGTGTAACCACTTTCAAAATGGCCAAACACGACACTCGTCGGCTTATGACCGATGCAAGCAAATAAAATCTAAACAAACACAAGCGAACGTGTTTACATGCGTGTGTGTATGTGCCGTGAAGCCGGCAAAAGGCCACCACCAACAGGGCAGCTGCACCGCTGCTTGATGTTCTCTGGATGAACGATACAAAAGGCATTGGTGGCAGGTAGCAAGCAGCAGCGTTGTTGTTGCCATACAGCAATCCGTCCGCTTTTCTACGCTTGCCGCTCGCTTGTATCCGGCAGCGCTGCACTTTGTTGTTGTTTACATTTTGCTTTTGTGCCGCCTTCGGCATTAAATACAAGAATATTACGTACACAAATAGATGGAATAACAATTCAAAGGGAGAACGCAGATGTAAGGCGGAGATGAGGATAATGCGAAATAGCAATGAATTTAGATGCGAACGATTAAACGAAAATAACAATGTATACCGGATAATGTAGAATGGCAGACGGCAAAAACTAAACAACCCCCGGCATTTGCGATTTATTTTGTTTTTGTTATTATCGCATGCGGAAACAGGCACAATGTGGGATTTGGAAAATGCGCTACTGTAAACTTATGTGTATGTATATGAATACAAATGTAAGTTCACATAATCTAAATTTCTAATGAGTGACCCTGTTTGATGGCAGTACGTGCTGGAGCGATATCTCTGTAAGCAGCGCTAAAATACCGGAACGAAACTGCAAAAAATACGCTCATGTACATATGTAAATATGTATGTATGGTATATATAAATGGTATAAAATGTAATGTTACTTCACAGATGTTCAGTATCTAGGTATATTCGGTCTTTGGAAGCGGACCGCATCCACAATGATCGTGTTCAAAAGTATTACAAGACTGACAGGTGTGTTAAGCAAAGATACTAGTTGTTGCAACTGTTATATTCAACTAAAGATCATAAGGAAAATATTGTTATCAAGTCGGTCCAAAGGTTTATGGTTGTGCGTATGTGTGACCGCAGTGAAACTAGCCAACTAGGAAGCGGTGAATAAGTTATGAACCCTCTTCAAGGGTTCTAACCTTCCTGGTGTGTTGATTAGAGTATAACCCGACATTTCACCAGATACATACATTTGTGCCTTCATAGATACTGACTTTTGCATAACTACTACTTACCGATCCCAATAGGGATAAGTCTCCAAAAAAAAATTCGGGTCAGTTACGGTAACGCAGAACCGTCTATTGTGGGAATTGAGTGGCTCGAGTTGCTTTTCGAATCTAGGGTGACCCTTGTGAAACTTCCACCCGGATGCTGTGTCAAGTTTGACTCCTCTTTATCCAGAATAGACCACGACATACTACATATGTATAAGTACCGCATTCAATGAGTATCCGCGTGACCCTAACCACCTCTGTGCCTTCTTGATAGCCTTGATAGCATTCATAAGACATATTTTCATATTTGTTGAAATAGTTTTCGGATAATCCGAATCTCATATAGCAATTCAGTTTTCTTCAAAAACAACTGGTCACCTCACGAAATACCCAAAAAAAAGTCCAACAAAGCGGCAGTTTTTCGAAAATTTGTTGGTGCTGCCGCTTGGTAACTCTATGATTGAGTGAATCGTGTTAGTAAAGGCAAATGTCGCTCGTCCAGTCACTAAATGCATGCTATTGCGGCGAGTAGCTATTCAGTGAATAAAGCGGGTCGCTCAAGTGAGAATGTGTCTTCAATGAGCGCGCAACTCGTCTGCCGTAGAGGGAATATTTATTGACTTCTGCTATTAAAATTTGTTGCTGCAGCAAAGGTTTTACACTAGAATCATTAAGCAATTAAATAAGCATTAAATAAGCAATACGCAAATTAAACTGGAAATCAATGTAAGCAAACTCGCTTGAAAAGCAAATCGCGCATGGTGTTAATTACATTGAATCAGTGCTAAAGAATAGAATAGCTGAAATTTAGCACATTGAAATTGGAAAATATTTTGTGTCAGCGTTTAGTAGTTGTAAAAAAACGAATGTGAGAGAAAATCGAAACTTTGCTTTGCTTTTCATTGGTGATTTGTAAAAAGAAATTTACTTTGCGTTACACAAAGCTAGCACATCTGCTCACCTTCCACCAGCGGCTGTCAAGAAGCACCCACAACAACAACAAAGCGCTCACTCGCGCTCTGCACATTTTTGAGTGGTTTTGCTCTGAGCGCGAGCTGCGTGTTTTTTATTTACAATTTTTTTTATTATTGGAAATACTATATCTAGGAGAATCTCACTCGCTTGCTAGT